ATACATGTACGGGAAAGCTCGCAATAGAACCAAATTGTTTTGAGATCAAAATGAGATGAATTTTATTTCATAGTTCAATTGTTATAAAAGTGAGGTCCCCCAGCTTTAATTGCTTCTTTGACGCTGGTTGTTTGTGAGTCCGGCTGCAGCAGTGGGATGGACCGTGTCAGCGAGGTTTTCTGCCGCACTAGGGTCACCGCGCTTCTTACATAATGCCATTTTGATATGGAGGATTAGGCCAAGGTCCCCTCCGCAGACCGGACACAGTTTTCAGGTGAAAAATAAACCAGATCAGATTGAGGCGACTGCGGCGGCGGCTTTAACGTAGGCTGATGTAATCTGAGGTGAATGAAGCCTACGCATTATCTGCGCTCAAAGAAACTCAGGTCTCTGCAAAAACAAACACGTTCTATAGAAATACTTTGGCTCTCTGTGGTGCCAGTACGATCCACATCATGTACGACATTTGAAAGACACATATGAAAGAAAATATGTGGTTTGTTCAAAATCACAAAAAGTGTGACATTGAATTAGCTGCAGCTGGCGCCTACACTGTTATTTTTTTGGTGTATTGAAATCTCCATGATGCTGTTATTTTTAAGCTTGGATTTCTTTATAGTGTTATGAAAAACATTAAATGCCCTGTAGGCTTTTAGGTATGCAATAACTCTTGAGAAAAGTTCTGTTTTTACTGACTAATGATGGCACTTCTCAATCTGGTAATTGACTAATGTAGCTGGAACCGGTCATTTTGAACAGAATTCTTATATATACTTGTCCCGGCTAAGGCAATGATGTATGTAACCCTTGGAATGGGATGGTTGTTACAAAATAATACTTCAACTACTACTACCACTACAACTACTACTTAATAATGATGATAACAATAATAATAATAATAACAATACAACATGTCATAATTATTATATAACTGTAATATTTTGTTGTAAAAGATAAATACTTAATTGTTATATAGATTAGGACTGTGCAATTAATCATTGTGTGATTTTGTCTATAATCAAGCGGCCCTTGTTAAGGAGGTTGTAAAGGAGGCTGGAGCACTCTTCTCTTAGTAGGTCAATTGTCCGTATCGGCTCCTAATGATAATGTCCCCTTTGTCTGGTGGTTCTCAGGGCTCTTGTGATGTCTGATTTTGGTCCTGCCTTAGTCCTTGTTCAAATCGGGTTTCTTTCCTGGTTTAGTTTAGTTTATACCTGGTAAAGTTTGTACCATGAACAGTAGTGCTTGTTGAAATTCACACCAGGGAAATCTCATCTGTCTGAGTTGAGACCGTGTGGGTTTGGCCTTGGATTTATTCTTCATTCATTGTGGAAATTTTGCCTGGTATTTTATGAGATGAATCACTTAGGCCTGTTACAATAAAGAAATGGAGCGCCATAATATTGTACTTTGCTAAAGAGAGATATTAGCCGTTAACTAGTCCCTATTGTCCCCAGTTCCTATTTAGTCAGAGGAACCAACCAGTACCAAACTTGAAATAATTTTTATAGTTATAATCACATCTCTGAGTAATATGTTTGTTTCATTTAACTAACCGTTTTATTGCATCCGCCAGTTTTATGAGCAGGTTTTATGCTGTGAAATATAAATAAATAAATCTAATAAACAAGTGTGGCCCCATTTCTCTAGTTCCTATTATATGTGAACTCAAAAATGGCTCCTACAGTGCAAATCTGCTTTACTATGGATTATTTATGACTGTCTCTATCTTGTTTTGTTCAGCCCTTTGAGTTGCCATGTGTATGAATTGTGCTCGCCTTGCCTTAAACTGTAAGATTGATACATCTGATACAATAAATCAGGATCACTAAAAGACCTGAGCTCCCATTAGAAGAGACACATTCAAGTTCTTAGTCACGGTAGTAATTAGGAACACACTTGTGAAATCCTACTTAAAGCTGTGGTACCTAACTTTTCTTTCTTTCATACATAATCCATTGTTATTATTACAACAGAAAGAGTATTAAGTATTTTAAAAGTCATTCTTTTCAACACATTAAGTCATTTGGAGCCAGAGCAAGCGGAGCAAAACTTTGTTCATGAGCACTTCCCTATTGGGCTTCATTGAGCTATAGGGGGCTAACATTGTCCATCTATGTACAGCTCCATTCTTTCCCCTGACACTGAGGCCAGCCGTGTGCAGCAGGTGAGCTCTGACTGCTGCGCTTTTGCTTGAACAGTGAGAGTAATGTCAACAGTCGCTTCGTGCCGGAGCATCTGCCTCTCGTCACTCTCTTTTCTTCCTCTTGTCGGCCATGTTTGTGTGTGTGTGTGTCTTGTGCAGCTTCCAACCACTCACTTCCTTCCTACACTCAACATCTGTCAATCACACTTATCTATTGTCGGCCATAATGCAGCTTAGTCTATTTTGGGAGTTTGGTGAAAATCCCTGTCAAGTAGAATCGTGTGGAAGTTGGTTTGGTGTTTGTCAGTGTTTATCACAGACACATTAAGATGAAGAAATACTTTAGCTTTGTAGGTTCAAATGTTCACAGTGATGGTGCTACGGTACATGTTAGCAGCATGAGGATGTGGGATTAAGGTGACAGTGGACACATGTTGTCCCATATTGCACATTCTGACATTAATGCACATTATTGCACACATTCATGACATGTGATTTCAGGTCAGCAGTGTTCATCAGTCGTTATTGTTCATTGTACAGTCTGACATTTGTGTATTGACCCCCACTTCTACTGTTATTAAGGCATAGACAGACAGCAGGTTACATTATGAACAGCAGTACAAGGTCTAGTTTGGAGTAATCCCCCATAGTGCACTTGCATTTGTAACCACAAGATGGCAATGATAAGTAATATAGTTCTGGAAAAGGAGACAACAAAAACAGAATTATAATTAAGTAGAAGTATAATGTTTTTTCACTAGAACATGTTAGAAATAGCCAGGGTTTTAAAGAGACTTGAGAGTAATTTGGTTTCAGCAGCACAGTACTATCCTAGTCCTTCTTCAAGCACTCGACACAAATTTGCTACTACTATTATATGTCGATCTATATCTGGGGCTGGAGTGCCTATTTTTCTCTTAAGAATGTTGTTTTTCCAGACATGAGTTGTCTGTAAAAGTAAAAATGTATTTAAATCAGTGTGCAATATGCATCTATATCAGAGAAATCTCCCTGTAAGTGACTTTTTGACACTTTTGGGTGAGTCTAAAAAAGCTGATGAATTACATGCATGTGAAAACTAGTGATAGAACCAGTGATAACCGCTAGTTACATAGATTTCATTACAGATTTCAATGTTTTGTAGTTGGAAAGTTAGGAACCCTTAATATTGATATCACAATACTATATAAATCTATATTTTGTTCTATGCTGAAGATCATTTGAATCCTCTTCCTGCCTTATGTTTCCTTTCTGCAGACAGAGCTTCAACCTTTAGTCTTTTGAGTTTTGTCTCTGGAGAGTAGAACTTTAAACTTGTGACGTAAACACCAGCCGCCTTTTGAGGAAGTGACGATGACAAAACATAAAGCATTCCCACCAAGATTTTCTAGGACACCAGAGAACTATGACTTAGATAATGGACTTAAGGTGACCACCTGTCCCTCTTCAGGTCGTCCTGAACAACGACAAGACCACTATCGCACTAATGTAGAGGTTTTCTATGCTTTTCATTGAGTTGTGAGACATTAGGCCCTGAAATGCTGATGTTTCCTTCGGCTGTAATCTTCCACAATATGATATGAACAATTATTTCAACTTCGAATAATGTTTTACAGTATGTTAGAACTATGACTTTAACATTGACATCCCAGCACTGCTCCTGGTCATAGAAGTGATCAGGTTGTTTTTTTGTCTATTTAATGGTATTATTTTGTTGAAAAGAGGTGGAAATCAAATGCATCTATTGAGCATAACCACCAAAAAGGTAGGCTTGCTGTATAGATAGAACAATCCAAACAATTAGAAAACGTATTTATTTGTAAATCTATCAGTAAAACATTCCGACCCATTTAAATAAGAGGCAAATAACTATTATTTTGATAATCGAAAAGTCGGTTGATTATTCTCATGATTAATCAATTAGTTGTTTAGAGCTGAACATTTTACCAAAACAAAGCTGTAGTGATGCCCCTGGAGAGAGCAAACAAAGACATTTCTGTGGTTGCCAGTTAGTTTTCCAGTTTTCTCTCGTGTAAATATAGCGGTGTGATTTGTTGCACATTTCTATTGATTTGTCTCAGGAGAATTCTAGTTTCCTACAGCTACGTGCAGAAGGACACATTCACAACACACTGAGATGAACTAACATTCATTCAATTCAATTCATTTTTGTACAGCCTTCAATTACAACAGCTGTCGTCTCGGAGGACTTTACAAAATTGTTCATTCACATTAAAAAACACAGGAAATACAATAATAACAAACATATAGGAGCCATTGGTCCATAGGGAGTGGGATGTAATAGAACACGCTGCCTCAGTTACACTAATTTCATGTTATAGTTAAGGTGTAGTTTATGGTCCCGATAGAGCAGTCACTATTTTCTCTCTGCCCAAGAAGTTAAATAGTGACTCCCAGGGCTCTTTCTTACAAGTATTATAGATTCATGTTTTCTAATAAGATTTAGCTTGCATGTTTTCTGGTGGAAAAGCCATAAAATGTATAATTTTTTAACACAATGTTTGGGCAAAACAAGACATGTTTTATGATATTTCCAATGTACTCATAATATACTCAGACCAATTGCATATTCTTGTTAATATTTATATCATATTTGCAGTTCAGCACAACTTTGTCTTGCTCTAAATAAAAAAGGAAATAAGTTATCAAAAATAATCGTGTGTTACAGCCCTGATGAGCTGCGGGAATCTTGCACTTCAATTCCATTCGATGTATTCTTGTATAGCCCTAAATCACAACAGTAGCGATTTAGCAGTGAATTGTGTCCAGGGCTCCAGACAAACCTTTTCCTCTGTATCCCCTGATCCCTGTGCCTTTGTGTCGGTGTCTCCAGGTGAGCGCTAACGTCCTGATCTTCCTGTGCACAAACATCATTGGGATCTGCACTCACTACCCCGCAGAAGTGTCCCAGCGCCAGGCCTTCCAGGAGACCAGGGGCTACATCCAGGCGCGGCTACATCTGCAGAGGGAGAACCAACAACAGGTACACACCGCCCACATAACAATAACACCAGACATCACAAGAATAACTCATGAGGCCGGGGGGAGGGGGTGTCAAACTGGTCCTCAAAGGGCTCCACCCACTTCCCCTTGTGAGTCTAGTCTTGACCTGAAGACTTGAGGAAATGGGTGGAGTCTGGGGTGTGCCTGCTTGGTTGGAATTAAATCCTGGAGCCAACCTTTCTGGAATCGGTTTTTCATCCGTCCTGTAGAAAGGACTCCAAGAAGTCTAATTGGTCAAGTTTGAATTGGAATAGTAAAAATAATAATAATAATAATGATAATGCATCGGTTTTATATAGCGCTTTTTTGAACACTCAAAGACGCTTTACATGTCATAAACTACTACTGTAGCCACAGCTGCCCCGGGGCACACTGACAGACTGACATTTAGAAAATTCACAATAGCAAAACACTATTCATATGCGCTCTAATTTATTATTTTTTTCTCCTAGCGACGCGCATAACGTAATGTAAGCGTGGTGTATGGATACTCGCATGAATATGATTGTGTTTGATTTTCACCAGCCGCTTTTTCTATGCCTTTCTTACTTTCCCCGGAGATACGTTGATTGCGTAAAAAAATGTATTGTAATTGTAAGTCATCTTTATCTATGTAGTGCACACACACAAAAACACACTGGAGTGGTAGGGGAAACCGGAGCATTCTGAGGAAACCTATGCAGACACAGGGATAACATGTAAACTCCACACAAGAAACCCTGTCGCGAGGTGGAATTGAACAATCGCTAAATATTTCACAGCTGGTGTAAATTGTCAGAATCATTGACCAATTGCGGTCGCGGCCCCGCAGATGTGCCGAAGACGCTCGGTGTAAATTGGGAGTTGTATAAAGTTTAGGTAGAGTCACAGCTGTGTCTAGACATTTGTGGTTGTAATAATGTTATTATATCGATTAAAGTAAGTGTCAGTGAGTAAGTAAGCCACCTTTCACAAAGCGCATTTCCCCCCTTTCAAGGCAACACAAAGCATTTTTTGGAGTACCGATATTTTTTCCATTCTTTCCACAATTTGATTACAGCGACACGCCGGACACACATCAAAGCCTCATTAACTCTATAGCACATGTTTTTATTGCTAGGGTAAAGCGGAGCACCCGTTGGTAGCCTACACATACACGAGGAGAACATGCAAACTCCACGCAGACCGACCCTGTAAAGACTCAGGTTGTCTTTTCCTTCAGCTGCAGTGAGACCAGTCCTGTCCATGCCTGTAAAAGCACTTTGAATGAGCCGTGGATTTCCTCTTGACTCTCACTCACATGTACCCACAAAAAATACATTTGTAAAATCAGACTGGATTATGTCATGACCACGACATCACGTGCACAAAGCAAAGCCCTGTCATGAACATCACTATAACATACAATAAGCTGTGTGTCATGTCTGCCTTTTATTTACTAACGGGAACATTCTTATTTTTTTGTTTCTTCATTTCTTCCCACAGAGGATAGAATAATTCACTTCTATGACTCACTAATGATTGGATGATGGTTGGAAGCTCATGTTTTTATGAAGAAGAAGATTATTATGAGATTTGATGGAACCTCCTGCATATCTTACTATTGTCATTACGTCACTATATCAACCTTCAAATTAGATATTGTTAAATGTCAAGTGCAAAGAAGAATACTGAATGATGAGACAACATTTAGAATTATAGAATTATATTATTTCTAAAGGAAATTTCATTTACTTAACTGCATTAATAGCAGGTTTGTTTTTAATCTATCTAAGTTCATAGACTGAATATTAGGAGTGGAGTGACCAAGCGCTAGCCTTAATGTGGAAGAAGCTGTGTTGCTAAGGAGGTTGCTCAGGCCAGCTTGGATCTCCCCTGCGAATGAGGGCATTTGATTGGTCCTTATATGGCTCATATCTGAATTTACAAAGACAATGTCACAATATAAACCACGGATTGTTTTTTTTAAAATCCCCAAATAGTGATTTTGGCACAAACTGTTAGTGAGCAAGAGGAGTTTACTTTTCAATTTCTAAGTCAATAGGAGCAAGAGCCAGTTGGGGAAAAACTTTGTCCGTGAGCACTTCCCTATAGGGCTTCAGTGAGCATTGTCCATGTACACTATAATTTAGAATTAGGCTTGATTCAATTTTATATATATTTTTATACCTGATTGCAATAATAGCAGGTTTGTTTTAAATATGTAAGATAGGGCTCAAACTTCTAATACTAGAAATAATGACCCCCTTTACTGCCCCCTTGTGGCTGGTCCTGTCACATGTTTGTACTTGCTGAAGTGCAACTGTTTCCCTGTGGGACAATAACGTTTAATTGATTTAAAAGCTGTTTCCTCTGAGCCGCGCTGAACTGAAATGAACTGGTAAAACACACACACATATTTAATATTTTAGTTAGATAATACAATTAGGGTGACCACCTGTCCCTCTCCGGGTCGTCTTGGACAACCATGAGGCCCCTCTTGCATTGAGTTGTGTGACATTAAGGGCCTAAAACGGGACGGTGGCTGAATGGATATAGCATACTCGCTTCTAAGAAGGTCCTGGGTTTAAATCCCAGTTAGGAACAGGGTCTTTCTAAGTGGAGTTTGCATGTTCTCCCCATGTCTGCGTAGGTTTCCTCCGGGTGCTCTGGTTTCCCCTATAGCTAAAAACATATCCCATAGGTCTGGTATGCGCCTCCTGTACTGGCAACCTCGGTCCCATCTCTGTGTGGAGTGAGAGATAAATGCCCTCAACTATTGTAAAGCTCTTTGTGACTCAATGTATCTTTGAATAGAGAGGTTATAAAGGGGAGGTTCCTGTGTGTGTGTGTGTGTGTGTGTCCGGTAGATCTGAAGTATAAAAATGAGATATAATGCATCAACAGTGTTATATTAAGGGTCATAGGACTTTATTTTTAACTGAATTGTACCGTATTGTTTAGAACTGTATCAAATCATATGAATGATCCCCAACCAGAGTCATAAATGGCCAAAAAGGACTGAACTCAGGCTCAAATGTTCCTTTAAACTGTGAATGTTCTAAACTCTGTTGGACTTTCTAATTGAACTTGAAGTTATTTTACTGTAACACACTCTTGAGACTGGACTAAAGAGAACGTTTCAGAAATGTCACTCTGAGTTGTTAGTGAAAGCCTACATTATTGTGTTTGGATGATTTAATATACAAGTACTAAGTCTGCTCCGTACGTTAAGTTTATCGTGTAGCACAGCTCATGCATAGGGGAATGTGGGGCTTTCCTTAATAAGGAATATTAAATCTGGATGCATATTTGATACGACTTTATAAAGAGGCAAGATTTCCAAATACAAGCAGGCTGCATGTTTTTATGAATGAAAGAATGGCCCTCAGATGTTACCGCGGTGGAAAATAAGAGCGTGCTCAGTCTGGACATGAGAGGGAGATGCTGTTGTTATGAATGACACGATGATCTGCATTTTGTTGCTGTTTCCAGGAACGGCTGCTGCTCTCCGTGTTGCCTAGGCACGTCGCCATGGAGATGAAGGCTGACATCAATGCCAAGAAGGAAGACATGATGTTCCATAAGATCTATATCCAGAAACACGACAACGTCAGGTCAGCGTCTGTCTGTCACCGCGAGGAAGTTTGAGACGTATACGTACATAAGTGCAAGTCACATACACGCCATGTTTGAATGTAACACTTAGGGATGTCGGAATTCAGATATTCTTAGTACATTAAAAAGAAAGATACAAATATTAAATCCCTGTTGTATGCACAACCTGGATTTAAACATTGTCAGACTAGAGGCCTGTCTCACATCTTCAGAAAGACTGTCCCAGATTTTAGCTGCATGAATCTGGAATGCTGCCTCCCCATGTTTAGTTCTGACTCTGGGCTACAGCAGGAGTCCAGACCCTGTAAAATGTGTACATATTTAAAATGTTCTACACTTTTAAATTTTAGATCCAAGTCACCTTCTTCTCTCACTATTCACTATTCACACCACATACATTAACTCAAGTCAAAGTGCTGAACACAACAATACAGAAACAATCACAAAAGGCATTCAAATCATAAATAGTCATTAAAAAGATTTGTATCCACAGCTAAACAGATCCGTTTATAACCTGGATTTGAACTCAGACCACTTTAAAACTCCTGCTTTAAAACTATTCTATCATGAGGGACTCCAGGACGAATGAGAGACCACGTATAAACATTTGGAACATATACTGTATTTGTGAAAGGCAAAGAGCTACACGTCTTGTTTCTGTAATTTCCCCGTTGTGGGGCTAAAAGGTATTATTCATTCATTCATATTGTTGAGCTATTTTTACTAGATTTTGAAGAAAATGTAAAAACTCACATGGCATTTCATTCTTTCCGTAACCATGTGCTTCTCAAAGTGGTAAAGTACTTTTTTTACAAATTAAATTAATAATACTTATACTAATCGTGTCATTCTCATTGATAAGGATAGAAGGTTACGGGTTTATGTTTTTGGGGAGCTCTGAGGAGTCTTTGGTCTGGTTGGGGGGTCCAGGTGCAAATGACTGCCCCCCTCATTTTAAATTGTTTGGATAATATTGTTGCTAAAGGAGAATTATAGCCTCTTTCTTTCTTCTACACATGTTACAACATTGTTCCTCATCGAAAACAAACTTGAATATGTATCATTGTACCACTATGACATGACGCTCAGAGCTATTAAAACAACATCAACATCACATGACTGTCTTTGCAGCCACTAATTTCAAAATGTTGATAACAATAAAAAAAAACAAAAAAAAAAGAACTCCTCCCTCTGGTGGTAGCATAGGGAGTTGTTGGCAGAAAGCATTTTTTTACCCTTCGTACTTCCTTTACCATATATTTTGAACTCATGATATTATTTCTTATTTAAAGTATCCTTATTATTCGTTTTTACGGCCAGAAAACGGTCCTATTTTTCGTCTTTCCGATCCAGACTGCCGTAACCAGAACCAGGCATAAAATGATGTCTCCCCAACTCCAGAAAACATGTGATATCTTAGCCACTGTTTAGACATGTGATGTTTCTTCTTTCTCCATGTTGTGTCCTCTTGCGTGCATTACTTCCCTCGGTGACACCTGCAGAGATGATAAACATCAGAATGAAATCCAATTGCTGATGCCGGATGTAACACATGACATTTGAATAATCTGATAAGTGCAGAAATCAGTCAGCGTTCAGGTTTTCGGTCTATACCTCGATACAAACAGCAGCAGCGTGTAGGTGTGTGCGTTGTGGCTTCAGCTCACAACGCACGCTCAGTGCAGGAACAGGGCTTTGGCAAAGTGGAGCCTAATTAACACTAGTGAGGGAATACTTAATCACCCAGTGCCAGGATCAGAAAATCCCCAAAGATGGGAGCTCCTCTGCACACTTTCAATTACAGACTCTCTCCCTGCGCTCGGAGCTGCGCAAGATCCTCAAGGTCACGACACACGCCACGGACTCGCCAAACAAGAAGCCGACACAAGTCACAATGAATGTTTGGTTCGAGCTGTAAGAATAGACTCAACCGCAATAACCTCGATTTACCTTGTGCATGTTGTGTTCAATGTCAAATACTGAATGTGCTTTTTTTTATAGATCAGTGTATTCAGATTACCCAGAGCCCTATATCCTACTGCGCATCGTGGCTAAGTCGAACTAAGAAATATGATCTGGATGACGGGGACTAACATGTGCTGCTTTTAGCCCAAAGTCGGCAATGGAAAATCCTTAATGTACAGTGCAGCGTATGGAGAGTGTGAATAATAAGTAACAGGCAGAAGCATGTGCAGTGGATTTAAACATTATTCAGATGCTTTTGTTTGATAAATCTGGGTAAAATGTACACCTACGTATTTTTATTATTGTTTACTATCGGATCATTTACATCTGGAGAGACTACAAGAGACAAGATGCATTGAAAGATTTATTGATTTTAGGTTTGTTTGTAGTTTATCAGTTTGGCGCATAGTTCTGTGAGGATCGATGCTTGAGTGCAGATTACGATCCACCGGGGCCGAAGCACTGGTGGTGGCAAAAGGGCAGGGTGGACGTGAGCGTGCGATGAAATCCTGAGGCGGAGATGGGGAGGAGGTGGTTGCGGCTTAAAAGGTTGTTTGGTGCGCGGTGTCCTGCTTTTAAGCGCTGGCTTGATTTGCCACGGCTGACAGTTGAGGAAGCTGTCGTGAAAGGCTGAAGAAGGAGGGGCTAGCCTGGTGCGATGACGCCCATGGGTAGTCTACCAGTCTGAAGTTTCACTTAAGCTGCATCACTGGGAATGAGTCTTATCAAACACACACAGACATACACAACCACGCTCAAATGCACAAACTGACAAATTTCATGTTTTAGAATGTAAAATGTTCTCTTAATATACAATTATATAGTGAAGCACGTATGATGGGTGAATAATGCTTTCTGCCTGTAACTCCATCTGCTGCCCCTAAATTTCGACATTTGGAAAAATTAGCAGCTGCGAACACAGTCATGTGATTGTTAAGTGCATAAGTTTACTTTCAAATAACTTATGGTCAATACTTTGGTTTTAATAGGCGAAAAAACAGAGACAGGAAAATTTAGACAGATGGGTTGGAGTTACATGTTCCTGATATTAGCGTGGATGGATCTCAAAAACAACTCTCAGCTTGTTTTTTTATGAGGGAATAATGTTGGAATAATGTGAATTAAAAGCTCAAAGCGTATTATTTATTGTGTTTATATGTGTCCTTTGTGTCAGTGCCTTTGCTGCGTAGCCCTGACCCCTAACGTTAGCATGTCATGTGTCTGTGTGGTGCAGTATTCTGTTTGCCGACATCGAGGGCTTCACCAGTCTGGCCTCTCAGTGCACGGCTCAGGAGCTCGTCATGACGCTCAACGAACTCTTTGCTCGATTCGACAAACTGGCATCGGTAAGACATGTCCATGGTATATACTTTATAGAGTATTTCACACAAACTGTAAGTCTGACGTGTAGAGGAATGAGAGCTGGAGCAGTGTGTCCAAGTAAAAGTACAGTTACAGTATATTGACAAAACAATACAACAACAAGTGCAATGATTATTTCCAGACCTCACTCTCCATTTTCTTTCTGTTTCATTCTCAGGAGAACCACTGTCTGCGTATTAAAATCTTGGGGGATTGTTACTACTGTGTGTCTGGGTTACCGGAGCCGCGAGCCGATCACGCTCACTGCTGCGTAGAGATGGGCGTGGACATGATAGAGGCCATCTCGTGAGTACTGCGCTTTGGGTGACCTCGGTCTGTAAATCTGTGCTATATAAATAAACATTACGTTCTTACTGCTGTTGGACAAGTGTAGGAAATGTGTAAATATCACTGCGCAATGTTATTCTTGTGTAAGTCGTGCAAAACAATGTAATATTCAAAACTGATGGACAGCAACTTCAATTGTATTTAATTTACGTGCTCTGCCCTCTAGTTAAGAAATATTTATTTATATAGTCGCTGGTGATGATAAGGATTTGAATTACTTTTATCCAATCAGGAAGCTGTGAGGGTGAGCATGGGCGGGTCTAACGTGTGTCTCTCTCTTCACTAGTTAAAAGGCTTAGGAGTTTATACCATCATTTTTTGGTTAAAAAGGTGTACAACTTGGAGAGTCCACCTTCTTCTTGGTTGCTCATCAAGACCATTCAGTAGTTAAGAGTCCTATTTGTAGAGAAGCAAAGTTGACCAATGTAAGATTCAGGTTTTTGACCAGTAAAAACATGTATGAACTGCCGTGTAAATGTTCATAGTGAGGGACAGACATAGCATCTCCATGGCAACAAGCAGGAGAAAGCCCCATCAGAAAACCTATGTTCTGCACCTTTTACCGGTTAACTTCTAACTTCTGAACCCAAAACCGGTCCCAATAGCTTACACCAGTAATGTGTTGTTTGTTTGTGTTGCTCCCCTCAGGCTTGTCCGTGAGGTGACCGGGGTGAACGTGAACATGCGGGTGGGCATCCACAGCGGCCGGGTGCACTGCGGGGTCCTGGGGCTGCGGAAGTGGCAGTTTGACGTCTGGTCCAACGACGTCACTCTAGCCAATCACATGGAGGCGGGAGGCAAAGCAGGGTGAGCCCTTCATCACACCTTGCTCACTGAAAATTTTATTTTTTACTTATGCACTAAAGGCTAAAAAGGAGAATATAAAGTATTAAGAGTGCACAGTACAAACTATGCAATGACAAAACATTGATTTTGAGTCTGAAGTGCACTTGAAATTATAATTGAATTGACAAATTTTCAGAAATAGCATTACACTAAAGTAAACATAAACAACTGACATACACTGCAGAACATTCATATATAAGCTTTCAGAAAGTAAAATCAGAAATCTCTTGTTTGACTACTGAGGACACATCCCATTGGGCAAAGTTTAGGCTTTGTGACATGTGAATAATGGGGGCTACAGAAATAGAACCACTATGTATACAGACCTGCTGTCCTTTCTTATTGAGCTATAATTGTCTTCCCTATTATGGTAAAAGTATTGTATGGTGAAAGGTAGAGCTGCACACTGTTGGAAGATCATTTATCAGTCGAGTGTATGTGTTGAGGACTGTGTTAACGATATATATTACAAAATGTTCCATCTTCAAATGAATGAATATTGATTTTGAAAGTTCTGAGCTGTTTGTGCATCGTTCTTCCCAGCCGCTGCACCAGGACAGTCTGAAGATATTTGATATTGCACCCCTTTTGCAATATCCATATTACACTTGCCCTGATTGCGATTCATGTTTGTAATGAAAGGTGTTATTTGGCCTCAGTCAGTTCATCAACATGTAATATCAGTGACATCCTGAGGACTAGGGTTTAATATTTTTCCCGAAAATGAGACGTATCAAATCCCGGGAAAAGACGACGCCTTTCCCGGGAAATCCCGGGAAATAGCTGTTGTTTGTAGTTGTTGTTTTTAGCCCAAGTAATGTATGATATCACTCAAATATATAATCCAACAAAAGCTGCCATCTCCACTAGTGTTTCACCAAGTGACTTGCTAGCTTTGCTAAAGTAGCCATAGCGTTTTCAGACGTTTTGTTGATGGGCTTTCTTCAGGAATTTCACTATTATGAGATTCTAAATGTCTGCACAATCCACTTGTCGACCAGTGACGTGCGGTGTGGTTTGGAGGCACTGACTTCAGCCCTGTCAGATGAACATATATCATAAAAATCAACAGAACCTACAAAGCGGCTTATTCATAATTAGTTTGGCTACAGCAGAATGTTTTCCATGGCCCGCATTGTTTGCTCAAACAAAACGCAAACGTTCGTAAAAGGCAGATTTCCAATTGTGTTATGGGTTTTACCTTAGTTATTAATGAACAGCACAGACCACTTCAGTTCAGACCAGTTTCATGTTTAAGTCCAGATAATAGTTTGAGCGCAGATATGTAATCCCCCATTTGGAAATAAGCCCAAAGAGTTTTAAAGCGTAAAACAAAACGGGTGCCACCTCCATAAACTCCTCCGTGTGTTCGCTGCAGCCGGCTCTCGGGCGCATCCAATTTCTAATATCAAGCTTCTTACCCTTCTCCTCTCTTCCTTATCATTCCTATCGTCACTGGAAGCAGAACATTACCCTAAATGCATTTTATATGATCTTAAAATGTGTTATATGTATGTTAGCCAAACCTGTTGCTGCCCTTAGCAGATGGAAAAAAAAGAAAGGAGCTTTCTGATAGAATTGGACGTAGCCAAATTCTGGGCTCTCATGTGCCCCGTACCCTGAGGCTGGCCTCATTACAAGTCGTGGTTTAGCGCGATTAAGACCCATATTTGTTGTCAAAAACACAATTTATGAGCCATCCTCTCAGCTGTAGACATGTTGATTGTAAATGAAATATGTTTCAACTTTGAACAACAATAAACGTGCTCTATAATTGGAGCGCACTGGATTTTTTTTTTAACTGTAATTTCCCGGTTCCCGTCATAACATTTCCCGGGAATCGGGATATAGTTTTGATCAGATTTCCCGGGAATCCCGTGTCTCGGGATTAAACCCTACTGAGGACTGGTGCATTGTTCCTTCAGTCTAATGTGCAGCATAAATTCAATTCTGTATGTGTGTGTGTGTGTGTGTGTGTGTGTGCATGTGTGTGTGTGTGTGTGTGTGTTGTGCTGCCAGGCGCATCCACATCACCAAAGCCACGCTGCAGTACTTGAACGGGGATTACGAGGTGGAGCCGGGCTTCGGAGGAGAGAGAAACGCCTACCTGAAGGAGAACAGCATCGAGACCTTCTTAGTCCTCGGCTGCAGCCAGAAACGGGTCAGAGCGACACACACGCTGCGGTTTGCAAGTGCAGTATGTGGTGTTTGCAGCCAAGGCTCTAACATTCTATCACGGCTCGGGATATCGTGACGTGTCCTTTTTGTGATTTTACATGGTCATATTTATTACTCATGTGCAGTTTTTAGCGAATAAATCATCTCTAGAAGCATCTCAGCTGATCATTTACAGGTTATTGCAAAAACTGAAGTATTACATTGTTTGAATCAGACCACATTTATATTTACGTATTTGAGTAGATTTTTACTGTATTAAAACTAGATTTTCTAATGGGACGAGCAGAAGTCAAGCAGAGACAAGAACATTTTCTCCTTTTGGACTATTAATAAAGTGCAACTGTACATGGAATAAGAGTGCTTGTCCATAGGAAATTTGGTATTTAAAAATATTCAGTTATTTTGCATAGGCATAAATCATAAATCGGCACCAACAGAATCAAACCATTCAAACACAGCAAATACAATAATAACAAACACATAGGAGCCATTGGGCCATAGGGGGATGACCAATATCCATAAATATGAATTCATGTCCATAAATGTCACTGTCCTCAGACTACATCAGATAAACAGACCACAGCTGTTTTATAATCTTGTTTTAAGACCGTGAATGTACAATCTACTTAATTCAAGATAAAACACATTTCATCCATGCATTTATTATAGTTTTTGCAGTGCTACGGTTTTAATAAGACTGTATTATTGGAAAGTTACAAAGTGCCTCTTTAGTGTGTAATCCATGGTACAACATATATTACATTTAAGCATCAATCAATAAGACGTTGGATTTGGTCTTGGTCATATACAGCATTTACTTTCGGTACTTTCTCAGGATTACCAGAAAGGCAGTTCAATTTGGTTCTAGTGTTTGTGATAAAAAATGCAACACATAATTGACTTGACTTTATGCCCAGTCCTGTTTTGAGAGAGTCGTAATAATTCATACATTCGCTTGTTTTTGTGAGCAGAAGGAGGAGAAGGCGATGATGGCAAAGATGCAGCGGACGAGAGCCAACTCCAACGAGGGTCTGATGCCACGCTGGGTCCCGGACCGGACTTTCTCTAGGACTAAAGACTCCAAAGTCTTCAGACAAATGGTGAAGCTGCGCCCCACATGTCTCCTGTCCCAGTGGATCTAGCTCTTTAATCACATCTGTCATCTCTCCTGCAGGGAATCGATGAGACTTCCAGTAAAGACAAGTAAGTTTATGACAATACTGACTTATTGCGACGTGAAGGAGACGCCTGGTATGGAAAGAAATGACGTTAATTAGATAAAACGGTTTATGCTGTGAAATCTAATCAAAGGAGCTACAACAAATACATAGTGGGGTTTGGTTATTGGTCTAATCCAGTGGTGGTTAATTTATATAGATTAAGATTAAGAGAGATTAAGATTACAAACTTTTATTCGTCCTTCAGTGGGGTAATGTCAGTATAATGACCATATGACCCCTTTGTGCTGTGTAGAGCTCTGGAGTTTTTTTTTCATATAAACAATACATTTATGTGTTAAATTAATTTTCTCAATTATAAATGAGAAAAACATTGGAAATTAGGTCCAGACCCCGACAGCCGTCTGAAATTCCAATGTGGCCCTCGGGAGGAAACGTTTGCCCATGTCTGGTCTAAACCATACCAAGCAATGTGCTGCAAATAAGAAAAGCTACTATTTGTGGACATATGATACAGCTCTGGTGCAGTTTAATATTCTACAACAACAATTGTAGTCTTTTCTTTGGAGATACCAGAATCTGCAATCCATGACATATACTTTGTTTTTATCTGGAAAATCCTGGTTAGAAAAAAACAGATATTCAAATGTTCTGTAGAGATTGTATTGTTTATATATATATATATATACTGTACATATATTTTGTATGTATCGTATTGAATGGAAGGCCCTTGGCTCTGAAAGAAACCCTGCCCCCGAAGTGATGTGGTCTATATGATTAAAGCTGGAGTTACCTAATATTTTAGTTTGTTTCATAGATGTGTTCAAGAGTCTTGTTTGAGTAACAATTTCAGAGCAAATCAGACAGCTCAACATGCATGTCTTTATCTTCTTAGAACATATTTTAACTGGCTGAGTGAGGGCTGGTATAGAAGAAAAAGGTCTGTTTGAGTATTTATGGCTGTGAATGTAAATAATCTTCATTAATATACATCAGATTATGTCCAGACAAAATGATAATAATAAAGATATTTTTACATCTGTACCTCAGTAATATTTATTATAGAGTCCTGGTGGTCACTTATACGTTCATGAGTCATGTCCCCTGTGTCCCCTGTGCTCTGTGCCTGTGCAGCCGTGGGGCCCAGGAGACCATGAACCCGGAGGATGAGGTGGATGAGTTTTTGGGACGGGCCATCGACGCTCGCAGCATCGACCAGCTCCGGAAAGACCACGTCAAGAAGTTTCTGCTCACCTTCCAGACCTCCTCTCTAGAGAAAAAGGTCTGTACTCGTGTTGACACTATGGGATGTAACATTGATTACAAACTGAGAGAAATATAAAGCTACACTTTAAATTTTAGTAAGAGGCCAACTTGAACTTGAACTTGATTCAAAAACTATTGTGACTGGATTGGGGCTGTTTTTGCCAGAGACAGAATGTTGAAATACAATCAAAAGAAAAATGTTTGCATATGTAAATAAACACTGAATTCCAGAGGGTCTGAGCTTTACAACGAGGTATAACATATTAGCTGAAGTTGGCTGGATGACACTGTGAACTCGTGTTTCTCAAAGACTTATTCATGTTAGCAGCAGAGGACCACATACAATGACACAGAGTTTGGGTGTGAGTTTGAGTTTGGACATGCCTTCTCTAAAGATACACAATTCGCAACACAATTCGTAAGCTCAATATTGAAACAAACGTATCACCAGTGAATTCTGTTGCTCATTGACATTATGAATAGAGATTCTGATTCTGAGGTGAGACTAACGACAGTATCTCGGACACCCTGAGATACCGGAGTAATGTTGTGGAGATTTACTATTTTACAACAGGATTTACTTTAGCAATAAACCACTGTATAATTTCAAGTAAGATGTGTGTATTTGAAGAGTTCATATGCAAAACACAAAACTACTTGGGAAAGAGAAAATTGTAAGTTTTTCTGATATGTTTCCAATGGCACTTATCTGTTTTTGCATATAAACTATTCCTTTGTATTTCAAAGTGAAGACACTTTAAAAAAACGTAGAAATACTTGGAAATATGCACATGTATTAGCGCTGATGGTCTTCCTCAGGGTCAAAAACACCTGTATTTCTAGTCACGCCTGCCTTGGATTTGTTCTGTTTCGAAGAATTCATTATGTTTTTCTCAGAATATGTTCTCCAATTGAGTTCAAGGCTTTACTTCTTTCAATATTAAGTCATACACCAAGTACTTGTTATATTTGAGGACCAGTGTATAATACAGTATGTGCAGAACTCCTTCACCGTTCTTCCTTTCATAGTACTTTTATTCAAGCAGATATTTGACTTGTTATATAAAAGTTCTTACATTTCCATAGAACCTCTCTCAGATTAAGATCAGTCTGGTTTTAAACTGTTTTTCCTTATAATAAAAAGTGCTCATACATCAACAATCTTCAATATTTTTGCAAAGCTTTTGTGGCCATAAATTCACAAGTTATACATTTTAATGGAACTGTTTATTTTGCAGTAATCAATCAATCAATCAAAGTTTATTTGTAGAGCGCCTTTCATACACATGGCAACACAAAGCGCTTCACAGTCCACATCACAAATCATCACATAAAACAAACACCAGAATCACAATTAAAACATTAAAATCACACAAAAGATTAAAACACAATTAAAACATTAAAATCACACAAAAGAATAAAACCATTAAAACTTTCAAAATTACACAAGAAATTTAAATAAATAAATAAATGACAGCAGTGCATTAAAAATGGAGATAAAATCCTTCAGTTGTATGCACAGGCAAACAGAACAGTCTTTAACCTGGATTTGAACATTGACAGAGTAGACGCCTCCCTCACATTTTCAGGGAGATTGTTCCAGATCTTAGCTGCATGGATCTGAAACGCAGCCTCCCCATGTTTGGTTCTCACTCTGGGCACCAGCAGGAGGCCAGTCCCTGTGCTCCTCAGAGTCCGGGCTGGTTCATATGACACCAACATGTCACTAATGTATTCTGGTGCAAGGCCATGGAGAGACTTGTACACAAGCAGAGCCGTTTTAAAATCTATTCTTTGAGCCACAGGAAGCCAGTGCAGAGACCTGAGGACCGGACTAATATGGTCATACTTCCTGGTTCCTGTCAGGACTCTAGCTGCTGCATTTTGGATGTACTGCAGCTGCTTACAGGTCTGTTTGGACAGACCTGTAAGCAGGCCATTGCAGTAGTCTAGCCTGCTGGAGACAAATGCATGGACAAGAATCTCCAAGTCTGCCCTGGACACTATATTTCTAACTTTGGCAATGTTCTTTCAGATGGTAAAAAGCTGTTGATGTTATTGATTTTATGTGGCTATTGAAATTTAGGTCTGAGTCCAGTATTACCCCCAAATTTCTGACCTTGTCTGAAGGAAGTAGGGAGAGAGACTGAAGTTGACAAATGACGCCCTCTCTTTGTTTCTGGGGACCAAAGACAATGATTTCGGTTTTGTCTGTATTTAGCTGGAGGAAATTATTTTGCATCCAGTCACTGATCTGTTGGATACAGTGAAGGAGCAAATCCAGTGGTCCATGTTCTCCTGCAGTCAGTGAGACATAGATCTGAGTGTCGTCAGCGTAATTGTGGTAGGACACTTTGTTTCTTTGTATTAACTGACCTAACGGCAGCATGTAGAGATTAAATAGGAGAGGTCCCAGGATCGACCCCTGTGGTACACCACAGGTCAGGGCCACATCATCTGAGACGCAGTCTCCAATCTCCACAGAGTACTTCCTATCCTCCAGGTAAGACCTAAACCAGTCTAGGGCTGTGCCAGTGACACCAGCCCAGTCCTCCAGTCTCTGCATGAGGATCTCATGGTCGACAGTGTCGAACGCGGCACTAAGATCTAACATGACCAAAACTGTGACTTTACCTGCATCAGTGTGAAGTCGAATGTCGTTTGTTACCTTCACTAGAGCGGTCTCAGTGCTGTGGTGGGGTCTAAACCCAGACTGGAACATATCAAAAGAATTATTCATTGTTAAAAATTCAGTAAGTTGTTGGGAGGCCACTTTTTCAAGAATTTTTCCAATAAACGGCAGATTCGATATGGGGCGATAATTTTGAAGTCCCGCAGGATCCAGACTGCTCTTTTTTAGGAGAGGTCTTATGACTGCTGTTTTTAGGGCCATAGGAAATGTTCCTGACGACAGAGACATGTTTACTATTTGTGTCAGTGAAGGTAACAAACTGCTCAGGACGGACTTCAGAAATTTAGAGGGCAATATATCCAGGCTACATGTGGAGGAGCTCAGACTCATGATTATCTTTTTGACAGTTTCAGTATCCACAGGTGCAAAGTGAGTTAGCTCAGAAAGCTTCTCTGGCTGTTGCATTGTTATACGTGCTGTGGAGGTGATAGTGTTTTTGATTCCTTGTACTTTGTCATCGAAAAACTGTGCGAACTCATTACACCTAGATTTAGAGGAAAATTCTAGGGGCAACTTTACAGGGGGGTTCGTTAATCTACCAACTGTTGAAAACATAACACGAAAATTGTTACTGCAACCTCCAATAATGTCAGAAAAATACATTTCTCTTGTTCTACGTAGAACCCGGTTAAATTCACCCAACTCATCTTTAAAGATTTCATAATCGCCCTGGAAATTGGACTTTCGCCACTTCCGTTCGGCCCTCCGGCACTCTTGCTTCTGTGCCCTAACCGAGTCTGCCTTAGTCCATGGGGCCTTTTTCTTACTGGTAACTATTTTAACCGTCACAGGAGCAATGGCGTCCAGAACAGTCAGAACACTGGTGGTGACAGAGTTATACAATTCATCAACAGTAGAGCATGGAGTTTTCTCAAAATTTAGCATTCCCATGAACAGTTCACTTGTGTTTTCATGTATGTGTCTTCTTCTAACAGTTGTAAATTCAGCTGGTGGTTTGCTAGCAAAACACATGTCAAAAAATACACAGAAATGATCTGACAAAGCAACATCAACTACATTAACATTTGATACATTAACCCCCTTTGTAATTAGCAGGTCAAGAGTGTGCCCCCTGCTGTGGGTGGGGCCACTCACATGCTGAATGAAACCAAAGGTCTCAAATACAGAAGCCAGCTCCTTTGCATTTCTGTCATCAACATTATCAACATGTACATTAAAATCACCTGTAATAACTAAACTATCAAAATCTGTGCACACGAATGAAAGTAGTTCAGTAAAATGGTCAATAAAATCGCAACATGACTGTGGTGGCCTGTACAGGACAATGAAAAGAGTAGAAGATTGCTTTTGTTCCATTTTAAAAGAAATATACTCAAACGATGAAAAATTTCCAAGGGGCATTCTATGGGAGACAAAGTGCTCTCTAAAAACTGCAGCTATGCCTCCCCCCCTTTTGTTTTCTCGTATTTCGGATTCGAATTTAAAATTGGGTGGTGTTGCTTCTATTAGAACTGCATTTCCTGTATTTTGGTCCAGCCATGTTTCAGCCATAAGCATAAAATCAAGATCATAAGAAGTGATAAAATTATTAATTAAAAATGATTTGTTACATAGAGATCTGACATTAAGCATAGCAAGTTTAAAAATAACGTCAGAGTCGATTAATGTGGTTGATTGATTTCTACAGGGAACAGAAATTAGATTTGCAGAGTTGGACCGTCTAACTGCTGTCCTGTTTTGATTTCGTTTTTTAGAATTTAAAAACATTTTTGAGCTGGTGCGAGGAACACACACAGTCTCAATTGGCCTAAAATGTGAAAACCCTTGTTGTTCTTTAGCTCCCAGAGTCAGAAGGGAGTCAGCACAGTTCAGTGTTTGGACTGGTAATGCACTGCCAGACGGACAGGGAGCAGTGTTTGCACCGTTGTACTCACCCGGTGCTGGTGAGCAGGAGGCGGGGGAGTGCGGTGGGGTCCGAGGGGGCTCAGATGTAAACAGTCACGCCCCCCTCGGGGAACGCTGAACAACATAACGTATGTAATCCATCAACAGGCTGCTACCGTATCTGTTTGGGTGTAATCCGTCTGGACGATAGGCTTCGTTACGTTTCCAGAAAAGGGCAAAGTTATTCACAAAGACAAAGTTAAAAGAGCTGCATGTAGCCTGAAGCCACACATGCAGCGCCACAACACGACTGTAGAGGCAGTCACCTCTGTTTACAGTCTGGATTGGACCAGAAATAAAAACAGATAGTCCGGAGGATTGAAGGAGGTGGAACAGATCCATAAAATGTTTCTTAGTGACTTCTGACTGCTGAAGTTTCATGTCGTTAATTCCCACATGCACGACTACCTTGGAAACGGTATCAGGCAGGGACTGAAGCAGAGGAGGGAGACGTATGAGCAGGTCTGGTACAGTAGCTCCGGGAATACAGCGAGTGACCGCGTTAAAGAAGCGGACGTGTCTCACGATGGAATCTCCAATAATCAGAGTGGTCGGGGCGAAGAGTGGCCTCGGAGAAGGAGCTCGGTGGACGGAACCAGCGGGTTCACCCGAAGCAGGACCGGAGCCTGAGCGCCGCTGAACACATGGAGAGGAGGAGCGGGGGTGCTGACTCTCAGCTACAGGCGACCCACGCTGTGTGCTCGGGGACGCTGGAGCGGTGAGAGGGGCTGGCTCTGGGCGCTGCTGCTGACCCGGTGGAGGTGAGCGGTGGTGATGATGGCTCGCTACCCCAGTCTGAGGCTGCTGCACTGGGGTCAGTAAAACCATCAGTGTGACATAAAACAGTTTCCCTCTATTATTTCATACAATTTCAATCTGAAACAGGAACTCAGGGATTATTGACCCAGCCAAATTGACCAAATGCCTATAGTCTCCAAAAATTAATAAAAAAATATTTTGGAGCGGACCGATAAAAATAAACCAATGGGATGCGTTTTACCGCCTTCACCCTTTTCCTGTTTCTCACGAGTGCACCTGAGGTATCAGATTTTCTAAAACCTAAAATGGCTGAACAGAAAATTCCAATTTCACCTTTGCCACTCTCCCTGTTGTGACAAAGAAAAGAATATGCTGGATGTTCGGTTTGGTGGAGATGCGAGGGGATGGGGGAGTGGTTTAGAGTTGGTGCTACGGCTAAGCTAACAAAATCGCTTACTGCACCTTTAACTATTAGGATTTTAATTTCCTATCCTCCTGTAGACTCACCACCTGCAGAGGGTCAGTGAGGGGCTGGTGCTATGAGACTTGGGTGGCATCTCTGACTGCCACCCCCCTGACCCAGAAATGGATTAAAGGGAAGAAAATGGATGGAAAATGGATGGATTTTAATTTAATGTGAGTGTTTTTCTTCTTTCTGTCCGCAGTATTCCAAAAAAGTGGACGATCGTTTTGGCGGCTACGTGGCCTGCACTCTGCTAGTATTCTGCTTCATATCCTTCATTCAAATAGTCATATTCCCACAGTGAGTACACAACCTCAAACTATTCCCGAACTACTTCCTGAACCCGGGTATATAAGCCTCTGTCTCCGCAGCACTCCCGTCATGTTGGGGATCTACATCAGCATCTTCATCGTCCTCGTCAACATCCTCTTCATCTGTGCCATATACTCCTGCATTAAGGTACTGGACACGACAGCACGCACCCAAACACAACACACCAGGCTTTTCTCACGAGCGTTTGTGTGTAAATCTGACTTGTTTGTGTATTATTTTTAGCGCCGGGACTCGACTAAAAAAATGTATCTAATTAATTAGAGGCTTTGTAATTAATTAATTAATCGCAATTGATCACATATAAATATTTGACCTGAGAACAGAGAGAAGTAATTTTTTTCACATGGATTTTTAGTTTACCATTAAATAATGGCTGCTCCTCCTCCGCCACCTCCTTCCCGGTTCACGCATAGAAGTCGCTGCTCCTCCTCCTCACACGAGTCCATCGCTCCACACAATACAGTCTATGCTCCACACACAGCGCTCATTCCCGTCTCTAACTCACTGGGATTTAGACACCACTAAAGTTGGTCTATGCTGGTAATAATGTACTTTGGAATAAAAAAAGTCACGAAGCCGTTCACGAAGCTCGAGTTGATGCACCAGTATAAACGGTCCGTCTGAAACTCACCAGTGAGGAAGGTTCCGCGGTGCAAAAACGCATACACGATTAAAATGCATCCATTTTTTAAACGCGCTAATTTTTGTGGCGTTAATTAATCTTTATTAACACGTTAAAGGCCAGGCCCTAATTATTCTATCTGTATGTTTTAAATGTGAAGCGCTTTGTGATCCTGGTCCTGGTCTGTGAAAGGTGCTATACAAATAAACCTGACTGACTTACTTACTTGATTGTTTGTTTTTGTCGTGCAGCTCTTTCCGTCCCCGATGCAGACAGTTTCCAAGAAGATTGTCCAGTCGCGCACCAACAGCACCCTGGTGGGCGTTTTCAGCATCCTCCTCGTCTTCATATCCGCCTTTGTCAATATGGTGAGTCTCAATTAGAGCAAAAAACAATAAAACCGTTCAAATAGGAGCGAAAGAGGGAAATTAGAAAGTTTATTGATTTGGGAAACGTCAGCAGATCATGCATGCCATCGCTGGGATAATCCACGAGGAATTATGGATTAAGATGAAGAGATCCTCTATTTGTCCTACAGTGGGGAAATTTCAGTGTTGCATCGCAAGTTACAGAACAGAGTACACGATCCAATCCACTTTATGTATATATAGCACATTTTATAAAACATGTTTCCAAAGTGCTGCACAGATAATAGTAATAGATTCAAATATACAAGTTTGCTAGTGGGGCGACAGTGGCTCAGTTGGTAGAGCCTGAAGGTTGTGGGTTCGAGCTCGCCACAAGACTAACTTCATCACTCCCGCTGATGACTGCTGTCGTTGTGTCCTTGGGCAAGACACTTAACCCCACTTTGCCTGAAGCCTCTGCTGAAAGAACAGGGCTCCTGTGGACTCACCACCTGCAGGAGGATCAGTGAGGGGCAGATGCTCTGTGTACTGGGTGCAGCTCTGACTGTCACCCCCCCGACCCAGAATTGGATTAAGGGGAAGAAATGGATGGATGGATGTCTGCTAGCTTTAAATAATAAAAGAAAAAAAGAAAAATTAAAAAAAAGCAATTCACAATATACATAAATAAACATAAAACAATAAAGCTCAGCACAAGAAAAATGAATAACAACTAACAATAAATGAATAATACTGTAGCTATTGAAATAAAATAAAATTTCCAGTGCAGCAGGTGGAAAGACAGGTTTGATCTGAATTACCAAAATGACAAAAATATAATAATAAAAATACTAACATTAGTAAAGCAGGTGTCGCCTTTGTTATAATTGTGCACCGTCTCATGTCCTGTTTGCAGTTCGCCTGTGACACCAGAAGCTTGACGGAGTGTGTGGCCGAGAGCCTGAACTACTCCGTGTTGGTGACGCCGTGTCTGATCCGGACCCTGAATGTGTCTGCAGAGGGCGGTCTGGAGATCTGTCCCAACCAGGGCCCCTCCTGCCCCTTCCCTGAGGTGAAAAATCATGAATCATTTTACTCATTCTATTTGCTATATTTACTCAAAACGCCTCCGATATATGAAAACAAAAATCTCTGTTGTATTCCTTTGGTTAGAATATTCAACATGTTTTGTTATTGGCAGTACGTTTGAAGGGATTTGCTCGAGAAGGAGAGAAAGTTTAATTGTTTGGAACTAAAATATATCTGGATTTTCACAAAAGTACTCAGCAAAAGACATTGTTAACCTTTCAAATATTTGTTCTAATGGCATGGATCTGTTGCAAATGTTATATACATTTTAAACCAAACAAAACTGGGATCATAGGCAGTAGCACAGTCTGCGGTTTGCTTAGCAGGGCAGGTCTCGGTTAGTGCTGTGATGGGAGACCTCTGGGAAAACAAGATGCCACTGTTGTTGTGTCCTTCGGCAAGACACTTCACCCACATTGCCTCTGAGTACGGTGTTTGTGTGCGTGTGAGTGCATGGTTGGTGGTGGTCAGAGGGGCCGATGGCAGGGCTGGACTGGCCATCGGGCGTACCGGGCAATGCCCGAAGGGCCGATACCCATATTTGGGCCGGTCTGTCTGCCACATACAAAAAACATGTTTGTGAAAAGTGTAAATCCGTTGAGAAATGTTTGAGGGGTGCCCCTAAAGTGGCTCCTGGAGCCTTTTCAAAAATGTCTGAAAATGGAGTGTGAGGGCTATATTTTATTTCTAGTTTGAATGTGGTTTCTGTAGGAGGAAAAACATTCTTAACGTTTTTCAATGCTGCAAAAACTTGTATAAGTAATATTCAATTTTAACTATGTGTGCGCATGGATCCCAAAGATAAAGAGAAAGAGTCAATAAGACTGGACTAAGAATGAGAATGAACATTTGCTTTCAGTCAATGAGGAAAGAATGTTTGCGATGTAATGAAAAGTTTTGTTGCAACAGGAGGAACAATGAAGCTTTAAACACGTTCACTGAAAGATTAATTCATCATAAAGTCAGAGCACCTATTTTCAGACTTCAAAAACCTTCGCAAAGACGGTGAAAGAAAAGGCCATTAAGGACATTCAGCTCCAGAAAACTTCAGCCTCTGATGTAATCGATATGAACAGACAGTGATGCAGGTGAACTCGGAGCCAAAAAACAGATTTATTTACTGTATTTGTAGAATTGCAAGAAGGTTAAACTTAAAGCAGAGTTGTCACGTGGTGTGTCATTCTCTCCAGGACACGCTGCAATGAAAATACACATTTGATAATCATGAATGGTTTTTATGTGTTTAGCCTTTACTTTGTCATTTAGATATTAGGCTAATATACAGTAGCTAATATAGCTAAAGTAGCTAATACAGCTTCAGCCCCTGTTACCTTCATATAAGCCTTATACAACGCTGTTTTTTTTTTTTTTTTTTTGTCAAATAGGGCTCCTTGAACCTTTTGAGTTGCCTGGGCCGCTAAAAAGGAAAAAATGCCCGGGCCGTTTTTTTGTCCCAGTCGCCTTGCTTCTGTCAGGCTTCCCCAGGGCAGCTGTGGCTAAAACAGTAGTTTATCACAATTGTGTATGGAGTGAATGAATAATGCCATGTGAAATGTCTTTTCAGTGTCATGAAACCAATGTATTATTACTATTATTACTAAGAATAAATATTTTGGCTTCTAGATTCACATTCTTCTCCATACAGGGTCTTTCTGTGTGGGGTTTGCACGTCCTCCCCGTGTCTGCTCCAGTTTCCCCTATCACTAAAAAACATGTACAATAGGTCCGGCATGTCTCCTGTAGGTGACCTCGCTTCCATCACTGTGTGGAAAGAGGACAACTGCTCACAACAGTTGTAAAGCTCTTTGTGAGTCTGTGAAAGGCGCCATATAAATAAACATTACGTGGTTAGTTATTCTCGGACATAGTTGAGGAGAGAAGTGTTTTGCTAGGTTCGATTCCACATGCTGCTACTTGCAGATTGATGCTTTTGCTTTCACTTGGTTTATGTTTACATTACGTCTCTTGTAAATATTCCAACGGTGTCCACTTTATTTACACACCTCTAATGATACTGTTTGTTTGAGTGTGGGACATCAACTCGACAGTGTGCTATTGTACCTTTTAAAACAAGTCACATTGTTTAGACGTCAGAAATATGAGCATGACCAGATCACAGGAAAAATAGTGGCTGGCTTGTTCCACATATAAATCTTTTCTTTTTTCCTACTAAACTATTACATTGCTTTTCCACACTCCCCTTTTGCAGTGAGGGAATCCCCTAAAACTAGTGGAAATACTTATTTTTGCTACAACAATAACATTAAGTAATATTTATTTGTATAGTGCTTCACAGACCAGAGTCGAAAAGCGCTATACAATTGTTTAATTATTAATTATAATATAATAAGATCAACTTTATTGATCACACAATGGAGAAATTTACATGTCACATTTGGAATAGACTAGATCACTCAGGGTGTGCAAAAAGACAGGAAGTGTGCAAACATGTTAAATGTTTAAAATGTACTCTCTAATTAAGAACGTCATAAAGTTGTACATGTTTGTAAGTGGTAACCTTCCTCGTTCTTTCTGTAAATACAGGTTGTCCTTTTCGCTCATTGTGTGTCTTTTATAATCTTATTTATTAACTCCCTCTCTCTCTCCTGGCCTGCTTCGTCTTCCTCCGTCTTCCTCCGTCTTCCTCCAGACCAGTTTAATAATAACACTCCCTCTCTCCTGTGTGTGTGTGTGTGTCAGTACTTCAGCTACAGCGTGCTCCTCACGCTCCTGGCCTGCTCCGTCTTCCTTCAGATCAGCAGTATTGGAAAGTTGGCTCTGATGCTGCTCATCCAGCTCACATTCCTGCTGCTCATGGAGTGGCCACAGGTGGCGCTGTTTGACAACGCAGACCTCTTTGTCACCTCCAATGCCATGTACGTACTTTGTGAGGCCAGTTTGTTTGTAGGATCAAGAGTGAGGATCCCATGTGTTACTTTGGAGCTAAATAACAAATAATGTTGAAACATGTAGACTGGTATACTGGTGAAGTAGGTTCCACTCTAAATGCTAGAATTAAATGCAAGATTTTAATGAGTAATAGGACTACTTTATTACGCGCTCTAAACAAGTGATATTTTAGTTTTCACACAGTTTCACATCTCATATATACTCCATTACATCTGTTGTTACATATTTACATTTGATATTTATACCACTTAATTTTGATATTATTGTCTGTGGCTTGTCTAAAACAATATTTATCTTTTTGCAGTGATTTAAATGAAACTTATTCTCAGTGGTAAGAACATTTACACTTTCACTATTTTTTTAACTGCAAGCTTAACATGAAGTTGACGTTTTTCCTCATAATTCCCTGCAGGCTCAGTTTCAATGAAACTACATCCCAATGGTGGGTAGACAGGACATGTACATTTGCATTATACAGGTCTTCCATGTTTGACAGTGTGCTTTTGCAGCCCGTATGTTGTGACCAAAGTGTCGTTGAGGGTCATGACCCCGGTGATCCTCACGGTGTTCGTGTTGGCGCTGTACCTGCACGCGCAGCAGGTGGAGTCCACGGCCAGACTGGACTTCCTCTGGAAACTGCAGGTACGTGGGCTGTCCACCAGAGGGAGCCATCTCACTGCTATCGTCGCATAATAGTGAAGCGTGGGACTCCCGTTGACACACTGAGATCACTTCTTTTGATGTGAATCACTAAAAACGGACTGTGGAGAGAACGAGAAATACACCAATAATGTAAAGCGTTTTGTTTGACCTTGCTCTGTGGAATTCATTATATCAATACGTTTTAATATGTGGACGCCTTCCTGGGGAGGTGTTCCGGGCACGTCCCACCGGGAGGAGGCCCCGGGGAAGACCCAGGACACGCTGGAGAGACTATGTCTCTCAGCTGGCCTGGGAACGCCTTGGGGTCCCCCCGGACGAGCTGGAGGAGGTGTGTGTGGATAGGGAAGTCTGGGCGTCTCTGCTTAGACTGCTGCCCCCGCAACCCGGCAACGGATAAAGCGGAAGAAAATGGATGGATGGAATACGTTTTAATATTCTCTTCAATATTCTATAATTAGTGGTATTGGTATAATATATGTTACATCTTAAAATAAACTTGCAACCACAGATTTAGACCTACTTATATATTGTATCCATGCTTCAAAGGTTAATAATGCAATTGTATTGTATTATTAGGTCAAACTATAGATTCTATAGCTATAACTATCAATATACATCTCCCTCAAATTTTTCTTTTTTCCAATTAGCAGCTAAACAGTAAAATATGTTTAAAATAAACATGTCAGACAAATCATTGTGTAATAGTAATATTCAATGATTTTTTCATCCACTGTCCGTGTGTTCAAGGCGACAGAGGAGAAGGAGGAGATGGAGGAGCTTCAGGCCTACAACCGGCGGCTGCTCCACAACATCCTGCCTAAAGACGTAGCGGCACACTTCCTAGCCCGCGAGCGCAGGAACGATGAGCTGTATTATCAGTCCTGCGAGTGTGTGGCCGTCATGTTCGCCTCCATCAGTAACTTCTCAGAGTTCTACGTGGAGCTGGAAGCCAATAACGAGGGAGTGGAGTGTCTGCGGCTGCTCAACGAGATCATTGCAGATTTCGATGAGGTGAATATTGTACAAGGAACAGCTTGATAAATGTGTACAGTAAATATCTATAATATTTCTGATGCACATAGTAGCATCAACATTGCAGTACTTAAATATATGTGCCCTATTTTAAATACTTTTTACTTTGTGCGAGAGAGGTGTATGGTCAGAGAGCGTGTGTGTCTGTGTGTGTGTGTGTGTGTGTGTGTGTATGAATGAGAGAGAGGGGTTGGAGTGAGAGAGGCCCAATAAACTTCTGCTTCTGCTAACACCTTTTTAAACTGTATTGCTGTTGTTGTATCCTGTTTATTTTGTTTGTAAGATATACGTGTTTTAAATAACTTAAAGAATGACAAATATAAAATCATTATGTATTTGTAGAATTTTTTTTAATAATGGATTAGACAAGTTTGTGTAAGCCCTCAGTCGTACAGGGATTAGTCAAAGCAAAGGAAGGTTTCTCACCCATCATCTGTACTTCTAAGGAAGTTTTCCCGACGTTTCGTCCTCAAACTGGCGGACTTCTTCTGGGAATTCAGGGATTAGACATGATCTTTATTTGTGAAATACCACCATTTACTGGTAGAAGTGGGAAATTGTATTCTCCTTTTTTAGTACAAATCTAACATGCTGTGGTGTAATTGAGTGCACACAATTTAAGTTATTTGACTGGAGATATTCCCAAAAATAATTGTAAAGCATTAATGTTGTTTGAAAAAGTAGAAAATGGTGGGGGAGAGTCTAAGGATTCAAACCAAGCAAAGTCTTGGCATTTAGATTTTAGACAGAATGGGGGATGTGTTTGTAGTAACAGCTCTTGGTCTGTTGTTGATCAATTTTTTTCAGGTGTCTTCCTTGTGGCCATAGATGCATGCAAAAACCAGATCCCATCAGACCTCTGAAGCTGAGCAGGGCAGGGCCTGGTTAGTACTGTGATGGCAGACCTCTGGGAACACCTGATGCCACATTGGTGCGGCTGCGGCTGTAAAGTGCCAAACTGTTGTTGTGTCCTTAGGCAAGACACTTTACCCCCAATGCCTAGAATGAAAGTGTGTGTGTGTGAATGGTTAGTGGTGGTCAGAGGGGCTGATGGCACATACTGGTTGCCTCGCTTTAGTCAGTGTGCCACAGGGCAGCTGTGGCTACAATAGTAGTTTATCACCACTTTGTTTGGAGTCAAACAAATAATGGAGAATAATGGCAGGTGAAGCGTCTTTGAGTGTCCTGAAAAGCGTTGTATAAAACCGATGCATTATTATTATTTCTGTAGAAGGCTACAAATGCAGGTAAATCTCATACTGTGGCTCATCCTGTTGTTGGTTGTTTTCCTCCAGATCATCAGCGAGGAGAAGTACCGTCAGCTGGAGAAGATCAAGACCATCGGCTCCACGTACATGGCGGCCTCTGGGCTGAACGACTCCACGTACGACAAAGAGGGTCGCAGCCACATCACCGCTCTGGCCGACTACGCCATGAGGCTGAGGGAGCAGATGAAGTACATCAACGAGCACTCCTTCAACAACTTCCAGATGAAGATCGGTCAGTGCTCACTCACCAGAACAGTCTAGACTTTGCTTAGACTGGATGGCAATGAATTATTAACTGAAAGAATAAAATATGGATGACAGAAATGGAACTTCAGGAGGTTTAAGATCAAACACTGAAAACCATGAAGAGGGTCAAGATTAGAATTCTGACATCTCAAACTCGATTTTGATCCTAATGAATAAACCAATACTCGATACCGACTCCAACACCACTGGGATTTTATGGTGCTCTTTTTGAGATGTTAGTTTATTTACCAAAAAGGTTTTATGTCATCACATTTTTCCAATTTTCAAATCAAGTTCAACATTTAAAGCATTTAGAGCTGATGGTATCCAAACTAATCAACAAATAAAAGTTTTTCTTACTAGTGCAGTGTAATCAAGTATTGATTCATATATTTTCCAATACTTTTGACAATGTTAGTCACTATTTCTAGATGTAGTAGAAGCTTTTTCTCACACAGTTGACATTCAGAAAATGTTAAAATAGTATTCACAACTTAGTAATTTGAAACTAATGTATGATATAAAAAACCCCCCTAAAGAAACAATAACGACTGTATGCCACAATCATCAAAATCATAAAAATGGTCAGACATATGTCACTTTGCATGTAATGAGTCTTTGTCATTGTTATAACAAAAAGCTAGTTGTTACTCAATATATTATGGATATACAAAACAGATATAAAAGAGGACATTTAATGGCACTAAACAGTTAAAAGATACAAACAGAAGACCACAGAAAACACTCAAGGACAAATAAACAATATTCTAATTTTCCGAGTTTCACCTTGACACTATTATTGATGTAGCTGTTATGTTTATATTTCAGTATTTCAGTGGAACTTTTCTATCCAGGACAGACTACAACAGACGAGTGCACATCTGAGATAAACCTGATAAATATGTTGTCTCGTGATGATATTAGGCAAACAGAGGGTAGATTTGAACAGAGTATTTCCTCTTTCAGGTCTGAACATTGGGCCTGTTGTAGCTGGAGTCATCGGTGCTCGTAAACCTCAGTACGACATTTGGGGAAACACAGTGAATGTGGCGAGTCGCATGGACAGCACAGGAGTCCCCGACCGCATTCAGGTACCAGCAGCAGATCCACACACCTCTCCAAGTCTGTGACAGTGTGTGTGTGAACATGTGGTGTGTGGGTGTTTGTACATGTGTGCGTGCATGTGAACGTGTGTATTTGAACGTAATATTTGTTTTTCGAATCCTGTAACTTGATTGGTATTGAATGCACTTTATCATTGTGTTGTTTTGACCTCTCAAGCCTCCATAATGTCGGGTGGTGTGACCATCAGAGCAGATTCCGATTCATTTTATTTGCCATTTTCAGTAAAACCGCATTTACATAAATAAAACAAGGTTAAAAGTACAAAAATAAAACAAACAAAACAGGAAACAATTGACACTGTGAAATCGATCGACTAAAACAGATTAAATAAAAGTCCAAGATCATTAAAGTGCTCTGTTCAAACTGATAATCGCTTGTGGAAAGAATCTGTGAACATATCGAGATGTCTTGAATCTCAGAGAACGATATCTTCTGCCAGAGGGAAGAAGCTGGAACATGGCTTTTCCGGGGTGGCCAGAAGAGTCATTGATAATTCAAAGAACCCAGTTTAAGAATATGGAACAGGAAGCTCACAGCCTCTTTGCGGAGCGGAGCAGCTTGTTTAGAGCTCTCCTTTCTTCGTCTGTGATGTTTCCAAACCACACAGTCACGACACCAACAAGCAAACTCTCAATGATAAAAGTTAAGCAGAATCTTAGAGTTAGTGGTAAATTCTCTAAGTTTTCACAGAAAGTTGAGAAGTTGACGAGCTTTCTTAACGACCTGGTTTGTGTTTTTGTCCCATTTCAGGTTGTTAAACAGAAAGCAAGCTTTTAGACACAGAAATCTTCTAAAAATGTTAATATTACAACATAATAATTTTGCATGTGTGGAAAAAGTAAAAAAGTAAAATTCTTCAGGTAGTCCAAGGTAGTCCAGGCCAAGTGCATGGGAGGAGTTGTCAGATGCAAAGTACATATTAACACATTCCAGCTAGAAAATAAAGACATAACATCATAAAATGACAGAGGCGTCAAGTGAATCTCAAGTGCATGAACCTACGAAGTCAGTGGCTCACAAAACCATTTCAAGTTCTTTCAATCTTTAGACAAATATACAAGAAAGGACTCCTATCTGACTAATATCAGTGTTGTTCTTCTGAAAAGGTAAAGTGTGGCACCCTTTAGGGAAAGGTGTGCTCTGCATTTGATCCACCATGCAGTGTCACCACGGCAACCTGTCAGACGCTGTTGTCACTACAGTGTTTGATGCTGGGTGTTGACCAAAGTAGATCTGAGACATGTTAGTGCCATGAACCAACTGGCCTCCTTCTGGGACTCTGAGGATCACAGGGACTGGCCTCCTGCTTGTACTCTGAGGAGCACAGGGACTGGCCTCCTTCTGGGACTCTGAGGAGCACAGGGACTGGCCTCCTGCTTGTACTCTGAGGAGCACAGGGACTGGCCTCCTTCTGGGACTCTGAGGATCACAGGGACTGGCCTCCTGCTTGTACTCTGAGGAGCACAGGGACTGGCCTCCTTCTGGGACTCTGAGGAGCACAGGGACTGGCCTCCTGCTTGTACTCTGAGGAGCACAGGGACTGGCCTCCTGCTGGTACTCTGAGGATCACAGGGACTGACCTCCTGCTGGTACTCTGAGGATCACAGGGACTGGCCTCCTGCTGGTACTCTGAGGATCACAGGGACTGACCTCCTGCTGGTACTCTGAGGAGCACAGGGACTGACCTCCTGCTGGTCCGTCGGGACTAAAGATGGGAGGCAGCATTGTAGTGTATGCAGCTCAATCGGGAACAGTCTTCCTGAAAATTTGAGACTGACTTCTACTCTGACAATGTTCAAAACTAGGTTGAAAACAACTGTGTTTAGCTGTGCATACAACTGAGTGATTTTATCGACTCTTCATGAACTGTGATTATTATTTACGATGATAAAGCCTTGTGTGATTGTTTCTTTATTGTTTTGTTGCCTTGTGTATGAACTGTGCTATATTTATTTGGTATTGACACAACAGTTACATTGGACAGCCCAGATACACTGCCTTTACTGTTATAGCAAGACCTAATTTTCAACACTTGTCCATAGAAGGTTTTGAGGACACAAAGGCAAACATTTAAAATTTTCGAAAATAAAACTAATACAAATGAACCTGCCTCGTCTTGCCTAACATCTCATCTCCCTTCTCCGTGTCCGTTGCCAGGTGACCACAGACTTGTACCAGGTGCTGTCGAGCAAAGGCTACGTCCACGAGTGCCGAGGCGTGGTGAAGGTCAAAGGCAAAGGGGAGATGACCACCTACTTCCTGAACGACGGCCCTCCGCACAGTTAGCAGCCGTGGCCTCTCTGTGAACCCCCGCGGCATAGACTCTGTGTGAGCAAACGCCAGCGCTTCACTTGAATCCAGGCGCCGCCACAGACGATGGAAAGTGCTGTTGACGAGACGAAAATGTTCTCCGCCACTTTGGCCCACGACACACGGTGAAGGACACGTGTGTTTCTCATGTCGAGCCTCTCTCTCAGGCTTCTCGAAAGATGCAAAGTCTGTTTATTTAAATACAACGCCTTTTAGCCTGTGTCAAAAGAAGATTTACGCTGTACATAAGGCTACTTTTTAATTCGCTTTTCTGATTTTGGTTTCACATGAATTATAAAGAGGTACTCATATTTAATTTCTCGTTTTATTTATTTGGATTTCAATGTTTTTGTGCAAACGGTCCTTTATGAAAAGCGTGGGTAGATGCGTGCACAATATCCGATTTTGGACGTGTACATGCATTTGAGTTCATGTAAAACCTGAGGAGTTTATCGACCAAAGACTTAAGTATTACTCAAAAACAAGGAAAGACCTGCTTGATATTCCGTTGGCAGCAGCCGCAGCGACGGCGAGCTGCTTCTGAAGCTTCTTTCGTTACAATAAGATATTTATTTATTTTCTCAGTCAGGTATTATACATGTTTGCAGAAGAAAGAGACAAAAAACTATAATTGCCTTTTATGAGCTATAGGTTGAGAAGTGATATTTATATTTACAATTTCAGGGGAAAAGTTAAAAACATTTGGTCCTCTTCATTGTATTTTCACGATTAGATTTGCTTGAGCAGCCATTTTGAAGCTGTTTTTTTTTTTTAATCATATTGACCGCTCCTGCTAGTTTAAGCTATCGTTCAAATCGTTGTAGAATGGGGGCTCAATGAAAACTATTCTGGGAAGACCTAAATAATAATAATAATATTGAATAATTTCTTCAGGAGACTTTAATAACGGGAGAGGTAAGGTTTTTTGACTACTTACTGTGCTTTGCAATCCTGAAGGGGCATAACTATTTTCACTGTGACATTTCTGATGCGACAGAAGAACTGCTTTCGTGCATTTTGTATCACCTCCGTCCATATCATCATATTTTGTATTATGCTTAATATCGCTATGATTCTATGAATAATTTGACACCGGCAATGGTTCAATTTCAATATAAAGGAACCGAAAACCAGCATTATTTCCAAATAATGTCAAATGCCACTGATACCAACTGATCAACTGCACAATACAGTATTTTAACAGGCAATATGTGATGCAGTGTTTCCCATTTTATTCTGTTAAAGGAGAGATATTATGTAAAACTGACAACAGGAAAAGAACACAGACCTGGAGTTGTTTTTAGATCCATCCACAACAAACGTGTAACTCCACAACTTCTGTCTCAAAGCTCCAGTCTCAGTTCTGTAGTAGTACAATGTTACTGTACCACTATGACATCACAATTTTCTGCTTTTTAAAACCTTAGATTCTTTCTTTCTTTTTCTTCTTCTTTATATATAGCTTAAGGCCCATAAATATAATATGGAGCACACACGTTACAAAACAAAACAGCAAAGCAATTGATAATTTTAACAGATCATTCTGTGGCTTCCATATTGCATAAGTGTCATTTTTTTGTTTTTGCAATGATAGGTATTTAACATAACGCTGAGGGAGATATCTCTGTATGCCACAATTTAATCATTCAAGCACCCAAACCGTAAGTGGAACCTGAGTTTACTTACTAATGATGCTTTTTGTTTACAACCACGGCTGAGTTTGGATACAGTCATTTTCAAATTAGGAAAAAAACTGAACAAAATTCTTCTCCTCCCTCTGGTGGCAGCATGGAGAGTTACAGGCAGATTTTTACTATACTTGTTTCATCATAATTCTTTGTTTACTTTTCTACTTAAGATATTATTTCACATTCTAAAACATGGAATGACAAAAAAAACATCTCAATGTAATTTTAATGGCCAAAATGCATAATATTTCTCCTTTAAGACTTATGGCAGCATGTGTGAAGATTGTTCTCATTTACCAACACCATTTTGTGTTAAGCAACATTTGATTTGGGTTAAAACATAAATTCATTAATATCAGTGCTTCTATTTAATGTAATTTTTGGTCCATTGCCCGCTTGTCTATATTATTATTATGATTTCTGCTTGAAATGTTGGAAATGTGCATATCTATTTAGTAATTATTCAATGTTTTATTGCAAAAGTGGCTTCACCTGTTTGTTTAATGCCATATAGTGAAACATTCCAAGCAATAACATGTGCATGGTGCAGAGACCATCCATCAGAGTTTTTATTATATTTAAATCAGTATATGACTCCACAACAATGCCTTTATAAGTTTGTCATAATCTAAGACACAGCATATATATATATTTATTTTTTTCTTGAATCATTTTGACTTTATATGGCCACCACAGTCTCCTCTCTAATGGGAAACACTGATAGCCTACAATAAAAACTTGTGAGTTGCCTTGGCTGGAGAAAAAAAAAAAACCTGCAATGCAAATGACCCACTGTGCATTTTTTAGATTTCTGTTCAGCCTCTTCTGCAGTATTGTACACCACATGCAATGTTATCACTGTTCAATATTGCTAACATACTTTGCATTAGTGACCTGCCAATACACAGGCCCTTTCCAATTTCTGCCCGCCTGCCTCCTTGACCACTCCGAGCACTCCCAGTTCTAAAACACCGGACGGAACCGATGGGACAAGAACGTGTAGTATATTTGAAGCCCTATATGCATTTCATTCAATTGTTATACATGATATGCTTGTTCCAATGGCAAATTCCCATCTCTATTTACTTTATTTACTATTACTAAGGAGGCAGGGGGACAGAAATGGGATGCAGCCGCACGATACTAACAGAGTTTTCCCCCCACTCAGTCTTTGAGCAAATAATGTACGCACTAATCGCTGAGTTTGATTGCCTTATGTTATAGCACTAAACAGGATCCGTGCCTGCTTACAATGTCCAGACTGGTAAATATCAACATTTATGGAAAGGCTTAAGGGCTTCAGTCAAGAGAAATTTCTCAATCGTTGTGTTGTTAACTCGTTTTTACCAACGCAGGATCATGTTCGTTTTGTGAAATTGGTCCAGACACTAATCACGTGTGCAAAAATACCTTAAGCAAATGCATAAGTCAAAAGACAACAAACACCAACAGAGTGCGTTTCACAGCGAGGATGGAGCAGGACTGATATGGAGTACTAAAATGTGCATTGTATGTATTTTCTCTTTCTATTGGCTGTCCATACACTTGTGTTGATTGTTAAACTACTGAAACAGTGTTTTGCTCAGGCCTGAAAATCCTTCTGTATTTTCTGTTTTCTTTGTATTTGACTGATTTGAAGGAATGGAGCAGGGAGCGTTTTGCAAAAATAAAAGGACAGGAAGAGGGGAGGTCGCCGACAGAGAAAAATAACATTTCCCCTTGAAGATAAAAAATTAAAAAAATATAATAACAATTCTGTCTTTGTTGTCAATGCTTGTGCACACACTTCATATGCTAGAACCAACAGTCCGTTTGTTTTGGGAATCCATGCACTAAAGCTAACATACTTTGGATCATTTGGTTGTTCTACTCATACTCAACACCTCACATGCTTCTACTTCAGAGAGGGCCCAACTATTTTACTCGAGGGCCAAACATGAATGTGTATAACCGAGCCAAGGGCCAAACTTTGTCTTTGTTGTAGGACACTAGGACTCCCAGAATTCTGAAACCACTAGAACTCCCAGAGCCGTCATTTTGACTGCTCCCATTCAAACGAATTGACTTCTGAGAAATTCTCCTATATAATGTTTAGTTTTTCACTAAATTCATTAAAAGGAGGAGCACACCAGACTCCATCCGAAGTGAGTCCAGTCTTAGGCTGAAGACCTGTGGGGAAATGGGTGGAGTCTGGTGTGCTCCTGCTTGGTTGGAAGGAAGTCCTGCAGCATCACTGGCCCTTTGAGGACCGGTTTGACACAACAGAAAAATACAGTCAGAATGAATGTTTATTTATTTATATAGCACATTTTACAGGCCAAGGTCACCCAAACCACTTTACAATGTTCAGAGTTCAGATATTGTTCCTATCATTCCACACACAGTGATGACAGAAGCGAGTTGCCAAACACACTGGCGCATCAGCCCCAATCAACACCATCCATTCACTCTCTCATTTACATTCATACCTATTGTGCATGTTTTTCAAGAAAAAAACGCAATGCAAATGACCCACTGTGCATTTTTTTTAATTTCTGTTCAGCCTCTTCTGCAGTATTGTACACCACATGCAACGTTATCACTGTTCAATATTGCTAACCTACTTTCCATTAGTGACCTGCCAATACACAGGCCCTTTCCCATTTCTGCCCACCTACTTTTCAATGATAAATCCATGTTGAAAGCTTAGCAAAGGACCCATGTATTTCAGACGCAGCTGCTGTAGGTCACAATGAACCACTGGGATGAGGCATGTTGGTTTTAATGTTGGATCGGATCACTGCGTCCTGAACATCAAAACAGGGTGAACTCTGGGTCTGACTTCACCGCTTCTGCTACAAATCTGCCAATACACAACACACAGTTACATTATCTGATTACTGTATATACATCAGAGTGAAGAGTTTAGTGCGTACAGCAGCCTAAGCACAAAATACTCACTGATTTTCACTTTTATAGTTGAATAGATTACATCATTATATAAATAAGTTGTTGCTTTGATTTTTCAAACACACAGTTGTTCTCTAATGGATGTAGTGTTCAGGAAAGACTGACTAAACCCACATGATGCAAAGACAAAGATTGCATTTACCACTTTGAAGAACCCAGACCAGCCCCTTCCCAAAATGCACTGTTGCTTTGCTCTCCTCCACTGGTCACATTTACCTGGTCACTTCACTGTGTTTCTTTGGATAGCGTTTATTCTTGAGCCATGGTTCTGCGCTGTGGGAGAGCAGCCACCCGTACTGCTGGTTCTCAGTCACAGGCATCAGGTACAACTCATTGGGAGCTGAAATGAGAGGAGCACTTTTACAGAGTGAGGTGTAGTCCAGGTTTAGTCCTAGTTCAGACCTGGTTTGGTCCGAGTGTAAACTAAACACTCCTCACATAGACTCGGCGTTGGTCTGAGTTTTGACCTAGTTAGTGCCTTGTACATTTACATAGTTTGTGGAAAAATACAACAAAATTGACTTAAAAAATAACAGTAATCATGCAGTGGAATTTATTAGAAATAATTATATAGCTTTTTTGCCAGCATGGGTCTTAAACATAGATCAATCATGAACTATTAGAAATTAATACATTTATGATGTTTTGCGAATTTATGACGTTGTGCTTCTAAGGTTAGAGTGACGGGTTTAAGTGAGTTTATAATACCAGTAAAATGTCAACACTGGTCGAACCAGGTTAGTGATTAGGTATGACTGGATAAGGTAATTAGTAGTGCTGTCCAACGATTAAAATATTTAATCGCGATTAATCGCATGAATTTCATAGTTAACTCGCGATTAATCGCAAATTAGTCACCCATTTGCGTGCTGTGTGCAATTGCTTTTTTTATTGAAAACAATGTGTAGTGTTATATTACACACTAACATTTGATGCAAAATCATCAATAAATGGATGACAAAATAAATAATTGGTAACAAAAAGCCCCTTCAATGTGTGTGTGGAGTGTGTGTGTTTATGGGTGTGGGTGTGTGTGTGTATGTGTGGGTATAGACCATAGACTGTATAGAAACATCATGGTGTCATTATGATGATGATAAACAATTTTTTTGTAAATTTGTTCATGTAAATACTCTATGCTGTTTCTCTGTTTACCTTCGGTATATCTATGACTGTATACTGTTTGCTTGTATTGCCTTTTTTATTAACCCCTCCCCCCCATCTCCCACTTCATGTCCCCCCCCCCCCCCCCCCCCCCCCCTCCCCTCCTATGTGCCCTTCTGGGTTTCTTCTTTGGCCCCCTGTATCTCCAACTACATATTGTTTGTAATCTCTGTCTACAATGTATCTTAACTAGTCCTTTTCTTTGTGTCTATTTTTTTCTGTATATGTGTTTGTCTGCAATAAAAAGTAAAAAATTAATAATTATAAAAAAAATTAATGGCGATAAAAAAAATGACGCCGTTAATATTGATTTGCGTTAACGCGTTAATAACGCGATATTTTGGACAGCACTAGTAATTAGGTTGAAGTTGTATGCAATATTATAAATATAAATTATGCAAGGTTGGGACACTTTTTTCTGACTATAAAAAAAAAGCCACAATATTTTTCAAGATGGCAAAAGTCCAGAATTATTGTTGGACATTTAATGCTAATTATCCCCTCTCAAAAATAAAAAAAATAAGTGAAAAAGCACTAGAAATAGGTGACAAAATCTGGCAATGGGGTAAATGATTTTTTACTTCAGATTACAAGAAATCCAATATCTAGGCCTTAAAAAGACAAAATATCTTACACCAAGCACAAGTACTCTTAGATTAAGATTAAAACACTAAGGCTGGATGGTAAAATAGTGAAACAGTCTGGTTCAGTTGGAATCACACTGCATAAAGTAGGTGAGGGGAAATTGTGTATATCTTTGTGATTTGTGAAAAATTGACTCCCTGAAAAGCTCTGGAAAGATGATAAATGGGATCCCTCATTGCATAAACATAAATAGTGAATGGTAAGAACAGAGTTAGTTTAGTTTGAGTTTACATAATAGTAAAAACATAAAGATTACATGTAAATCCACACACACACACTCACAGAACGTTTACCGTACATAATACTTTACATGATAATGATATACATACTGTAAGTAACAAGGGGATAAGTTGCTGGGTCACTACTTACAAAACACATATCCCACGTTATGTCAGAAGACCTTTGGAAATGATTTACAGTAAATAGCATCACAATAATAAACTCCAGCCCATAGTTTCTCGAGACATACTGTATATATTTGAGTTTGGACCTGCTTCACTCTTGTTTCCCTCTGTGACCTGCACACACCACTCACCCCTGGGAGTTTGAAGGCCCCGGATCAGCTGCTGGTGCCGTGCATGACTTCCTTGATGGATCTCTGAACTGAAGGGAAGAGGTTTCTGCAGTGTGCCACTTTCTGCTGGAGCTGAACACGATCCAGGCCCAAGCTGTTCTGATGCCAAAGAATTGTCCTCTCTGGATTGCAATGCTATACAAAGAAACAAATCATGAACATGGACTGTATGTAAGAGCCAATTAAGTAAGAGCCAACACAATTGTTCTCATGAAATTAAACCTATAACCAACTCTTCTCTTTGCTAGCTAACAGCTGATTAGCATACACTATTTTTAATGTCCTTATTTTTCTTACCCCAAAACTGAGATGGTTTACTGGAGCTAACTATTAATTTATCCCCAATAGGATTTTGATATCCCAGATGAGTGAGTCCAAAGAAAGCCATGAGGGGAGAAGTTTGCTATACGCTACAACACAAGAAAACTGCACACATAACCCACAAGTTAGCTTCAGCCCTATTTGTTTGCATGTCACCATAGCAACAGCCCCTCCCACTCAACTGTCCTGCATTCAAGCAGCTTTGGTAGAATATACATTTTGTTTATAAAGTTACTGCTTATAGATTTCATGCCACATTTTTGAGAACTTTTCCCCTTATAAAAAATTATAATATTTGTATGGAACATTTACTTTATTTCAGGTTACCCACAGAGTGGGTTTTCTTTCACTTGACAGTATTACAGACTTATCTACAGATGTATACATACAAGTGTAGCTTCAATTCAATTTATTTTTGTATGGCCCTGAATCACAGCCAGAGTTATCTTGGAGGACTTTTCAAAGTTGTTGATTTGCCAACACGGATCAGGGAATCAGTTTAAACAAATGAAATGCAATGATAAAAAAATAGAGCCATTGGTCCATACGAGGAACATGACCAATGACCTTAAATGTTAATAGATGTCCATAAAAGTCGTTAAATGTCATGTCATAGTGCGTATACTTTTTATGCTTAGTTTCTTTATTAAGCTAAACATAGTTAAACAACTCTTGTTCATATTTTTCACTAACATATCTTGCTGTGTGCGCCACATTGCTACACTGTCCTGTAATAAAGATTACTTACACATACTTGTGATGCAACACTGAAACTTCCCCACTGTGGGATGAATAAAGGATCTTTATCAACAAATTATTTAGATAATGCTATTCACGATCATTTTAAGTGGTATAACATAATGAAAACAACCGATACAAGAAAATAAGAACAACTATTGAAAGTATATTAGCATTTATTTGAGTTTGAGGTGATTGTCCTGAGGCAGGACTGGCTGCATTCTTCTCTATTTGTGTGAGTGTAAAACTTCTCTTTGTTGTTTTCTGTTGCTCAACAATGGAGCCTCTTTTACATCACCTTCTGCAAATTTTATTGATGCAACATTTCATTCTTTCCTCATTCTTGTGTTGTGACAATTCACACTGTGAAAAGCGAGTTTCCAAATGATTGCATAGCTTATGTTTTCTAATATGAGGCTCTTTGTTGCCATTAGATCAGTCTTAACACTCACTCCCTGACGCATGGTTAAACAGCTACACACAGCCTGTGCTGCTTTTAAGATAAAACATCAATTTTATTAACTCATTCCAGACAAAGCAGTGCCAATGATTGCAGACTGACCACCTGAAATATATGATAGTATTTAAGCACAGGCAATAAAAAAAACGAGGTGGGGTTTGTATATGTTGTCAATGAGTCTGGCCATATAAGTATAACTCATGCTAAATGGTGATGGAGAGTTCTGGGAAATCCAAAGGCTTGCAGCAACATTGTGAACCATTGCCAGATTTTTAGTGGGGGTGTGATTCCCCAGGTTAGCAATGCACCATACTGGGCCAGCCATAGATCATTTAGATGTAATTAAAACAGCATTTTATTTTAGCAGGTATTAATTAATGTTTCCCGCTGTCAGCTGATCCCACTCTACTCCATAAAACAAAACGTGTCACCAAAACTAACGAGTAATAGTAGCTTAGTTTAGTTCTCTAAATAAACATGAGGGGGCGGTGCTAGTTTGGAGTTAGCCACGCCCCTTGCAGGGCACCGGTGCATGGTGACGTCACAGATCGGCCGTGAAATGGGAAGTCGAGCGAGCGCTGGTGAGTTCAACAAACCAATAAAAACCTTCCGAAATCTGCCTTCAACAGGGAAGTAGGCTGCGCCCTGCTTCACACCGCACATTTACACATCCATGGGCATCACCAGTACGGAACAATTCTCTTCTGATTGTGTTTAATAAATCTATATAATTACATCGTCGTTCCGTTTTGAGCAAGAAACGTGAGTAGCGTGGTTTTGTTTTGCTTTAGCATGTGGCTAGTTGGAGCTACCACAGTGGGTGTATGGTAGAGAGTTCTCTGCATTTTGAGCCAATAATAGTAGTGTCATCTGTGCGGTGTTTACCCAAAATTCTCTCTAACCAAATGCCTGGACTATTGTATACATTATTTAGCTAGATCTACTGTTTGAAAAGTCTATTTTCTCTTTTGCTACAGCTGTATTTGTTATGTTGTTTGGGTGTAGGGATAGCCCAGTTACCTCTTGCTTTATTCCTGTGTGGATTAGAGTTAGCCACGTAAATACGGGATTGGACTAATGTCATTACTGTTTCTTGAGTCTGACTATTTCTGGATGTGGTAGTGGCTGGTGACCTAAAGCTGCACTCTGTAACTTTTGTTTTGGAAGCTACCTGCTTGTCAGAGAGATGCTTTGTGTTTGCTTTGTGTTCCACTGCATGGCTTTGAACCTATGTTATCTATTACAATTATTGCATGTGTTTTGTATTTTTAGTGTGAGCTCCTCTCCACAGATCTGACTTGGTGGTGTCACTTCTTGTCTGTCCACAATAGATAAGCAGCTCAATTTAGTTGCACAGTGATCCTGTTTAAATGCACCCTGCTCAAACAGAGCATATATAACAGTATATATATGATATAGTTTCGTAGAACTTGTGTGTGTAATCTATAAATGTATAGAAATGTGAATCTGAAGCCTCTTGTCCGTTTCGATTTGTTTTATACAGATGATAGTATTTGGATTTCTTATTTCTTTCATTATTATATATTGTGGAAACCACTGCCAGAACTTTAAAAACACTGAAAGTAATGTTCTGGTTCCTACTGTGATGTGATTGTAGAGGGAGTTATCTTTGTTAGATGGGTTAGCGTTGGAAAATAACTCCTATGAATATATAACATTTTAGAAAACGCAGAAACGTTGCAATTTGGAGTCCCAAATTTAATCAACTAAATGATCAGCAAATCATGTTTTACGCTAATTAAACCAAGTACCCTTAAACTATACAATTTCAAAATGCAACATATAGTTGTATGGCATTGGCAGCTAAATGGAATATTATAATTATTACCTGTTGTGTAATAAGAGGTAATTGATTTGAAATAACAGTTCGTTGGTTTCCTCTCAGAAATTCCAGTGAGGCCGACAGAGAAGATGAGTGGTAACATCCCTCTTTCACGCTCGGAGGTTTTCGGGGAGCTGAGGAAGGAGCTCCACGATGACACAGAGTTCCACCAGTCTGACGCCCACATCTTCATCATCATGGGAGCTTCTGTGAGTGTGTGCGGTGTCATATGGCGGTAATAACAATGTAGTAACAAAACAAGACATTTTGTAAACATACACAACATACGTATACTGTAAATACCCTGATTGAGGCATCAGGAGTAACATCATTCCCGTTTCCACCTGCCCTACATGGCTCGACTCTACTTGGTTGCGTTTCCATCACACTGTAGTATCTGGTACCGTATCCTAGCAACCTACCCACTTCAAACCAGTGCACTGGAAAATGCGAGGGTAACCATAACCATAGTTCCAGCAGCACTCTGGCCGATCACTGTCAGTTAGAGCACTTTGGTAACCCGCTTGACCTGGTTAGAACTGGGTCCAAGCAGGTACTAATAAAGTACCTGGCACTGGTTAAATAGGGCCAGTGGAAACGCTTCCAATCGGGGGACAGTAAAGCAGAGCTGAGTAGATTAGGACCAAGTAGGGCTGGTGGAAAAAGGGCTTTTTATTACCATAATTACACAATAACAGCTTTAGTGGTTAATAAGTTCCTATAATGAGTTAACATTATTCAACCCTAAACTAACTAGATTAAAGTTTACTCAAATTTATTCACACAAAAAAGTAAAACAACAGTAGTTCACTATCAATGTAACGTGTCCAGTGAAGAGTGAAATATTTTAATTTTAAACGGCTTTTGATGATATTTCTGTGGCAATCAAGCAGACTTTTTCTGTAATAATTGAAAGACTGTGAGGATTTCCAGATACATTATAATATAGATTAACAAGAATTGTAGATTAGAATACTGCATTTCTCTTTGTTATAATTCAATCATATATACAGTCCTGAGCTTAATTTTTTCCTAATGTGGTAATCCTGGGGGAAACACAACATTGCACTTGATGTGATTATGGTCAAACTGGTTTTACTTCCTCCTTAGCTCCATTTCCTGCAATCTACATTCACTCAGTCTTTCTTCCTTTTAGCATAATCTCAGGTTACATGACTGGCTAGAATGGAGTTACATAAAACCGAGTGTCCTCTTATAAAAGTCTGAGAATGTCTTCTTCTCACAATTAGCTTTGGTCGATCAGATGTTGTTTGTTGCTGTGGTTGAATTCTGCAATGTCACAGAGACTCAGCACTTTCTTTCAATGAAGGGTTTTGCTTTGAGCGGTGAATCACTGGCTGGGTGTATATTGGACACGGTTCACCCTCTAGCGCAGTCATGAGCCAATCCCGTTAAATTACATTATAACGTTTACTGTTACCAAAAAATTACTTCAGTCTTGAAATGCGTTTGAAGGTTTGGTATCAGTTTCTGGCCTAATAGAGCAGAGTGTGTGTAGTCTAGTATTGCATTTGCTCAAGAGTTGTCACGGATACAGTTTTAAAAGTTTTTTTGACAACATGTGGTTTATAGAAAAGCTCTTGTACATTTGTGTTTCCACGTGTTGTACAGTACACCAGGATATAGTCATTGCTTTTCCTTCACAGACTCACAACGGACGAGACTAGTATTCAAAGGATAAATGCATTGTTCTAATGATGTGTCCTTTTCGTTGCTCACTCTAGTTGTCCCTTCTGTCATAACTAGATTGAATTAAAACAAGAACTGCTTTGTAACTCACAATCTGTTTCTGAACCTCAGGGAGATTTGGCAAAGAAGAAGATTTACCCAACGCTCTGGTGAGGGGAATTTTAATACCTGAGAAATGTTTCTACCTGCCAAACTGTAATAATAATACATTTCTGTGTTCTAGGTGGCTGTTCAGAGATGGTCTTCTGCCAGAGCAAACACATTTTGTGGGTTTTGCTCGCTCCCAGTTGTCTGTGGATGCCATCAGAACGGCCTGTATGCCTTATCTCAAGGTAACAACGATAACATATGTTTAATCAATCTGTCTTTTTATCTCTAAAGAGCTTTGCAGACGAAACATGTAGCTGAAAAGTAACACGTGATTGTGTTCATAAAATGGCTCTAGTTTAAAACTGTCCATAAATGTTCTGGATCATCCCTGTGTTTCGACCCTTCTGTATCAACCAAAGAGAGAAAATGATTGGTTACTTTTCAATTTTATTTGATAAAAAAAGTGTACACATGGATAATAATAAATGGAGCCATAGTCCTCCTTCTACAGTCTGAGTCCTATAGCCTGTCTGTTTATAGGCGTAGATAAAAACATTTATTAACATTTATAGACAGTGGTCATCCTTTTCTGATCTGTTGTTGTTGAATCTACAACTTTGTAAATATGACTGCTGGTGTGATTTAGGGCTATACACAATTATATAGATTTGACTTTAATTGAATTATTGGATTTCCCAAATATGGCGATAATCATTGAAAGTGTAATTTAACTTTTGACACTATCCCCCACCTCCAGTATTAACACTAATATCTTGTTGCCTAGGTGACCGACACAGAGGCAGAGAGACTGGACGCGTTTTTCAAAAGGAACACGTACATCAGTGGGAAATACGCAGAGGAAAGTTCCTTCTCCGCTCTGAACACTCACCTGCTGTCGCTGCCCGGAGGAGCCGAGGCCAACCGCCTGTTCTACCTGGCCCTTCCCCCGTCTGTCTACCACGACGTCACCAGGAACATCAGTCTGCAGTGTATGAGCACAAAGTGAGAACAACAATAGACCCCTACGGGACAATCGTTCTGCTGAGGCTGAGAATGTTCTGGAGTTTGTGTGTCGCCCTTTAGTCCTTCTCCTTGTTCACATGTCACAAAACCTCATCAAGAACCTTATGAAAGACAACTTTATGTAAATCAGGCCAAACATCTCTCTGTGTTTTGTATTAGAAATAGTAATAGTCCAGCATAATTCATATTCATTCATTGAATAACTTGGTGGCTGATTCATTTGTTTTGGTGACTCAGATTGAAATGTTCGCTGTGGGATTGAGCGTGGGAGTTCTGTTTTCTTCAGGGTTTGTCTGAAAGAAATACAAGTTTATTTTGAAATTATCAGCCGTTTTTTGCTCATTTCAATCTCAGAAATGAGACAAGGAACAAAATTATTATATTTCTTGTTTCTCCGTCAGACGCCTATGTCGTCACTGAGGTTTGTTAATCAGGAAGATAATTCAAAATGTTTGGGGCAGATTTTGTATGTATTTTCAACAAGCAAGAAAATGATTGAAGGTCAATTGATTAGACTTTGCGGACAAAGTCTAGTATTTTCACATTTCATTTGACGTTCAGGATATTTTCACAGCTTAACATTTGCATTTAATTTCTAATCACAGTTCCAGAAAGTTTAGAATCATAGTGATCAAAAATACAGTCATTTTGCTCGTTATGAATATTAGGAGTCAAGGTTCCTGGCAAATCATTTATGTGGCTATTATTTGTAAAAAATACATTAAAAAAGAACATTATTTGAGGGGGATGTCGAGTTCTGTTGCACTCAAAACATTGATAATAAACTGCACAGGGTCATACTCTCTTTTGTGTCTGTGGCCCAGAGGCTGGAACCGGATCATTGTGGAGAAGCCGTTTGGACGCGACCTGCAGAGTTCAGAGGAGCTGTCCGCGCACCTGTCCTCCCTGTTCACAGAGGAGCAGATCTACCGCATCGACCACTATCTGGGCAAAGAAATGGTGCAAAACCTCATGGTGCTTAGGTGAGATTAGGGCTGTAGCAAGGGAATTGATAAATAACAACTGATTCATAATTGAAATGTCACAATTTGGTGATGGGTTACAGATCGGTGTATACCCTGTGCCAGCTTCATGTTGAGATGATGGAAGTAGATTGTTGTGTTCTCTGTTTTAAATAATGATATGTTTTGAGCGATAAAGTACTATATACCTGTGGATTGTGATTGCTATATCCACTTTGTTCACTTGCTTTTAAATATGTTTTCCTTTTCTATTCTTATATATATATTACATTTTATTACTATACATTTTTCAATATTTTTTAAATTTGTTATTATTTATTTGTATGCAATCTTTTCCTTTGCGTTATAATTGTTATTTTGAATTATTTCATTTTGACTATTTGAACTCTAAAGGCAAAAACTCTACATAAAAAAAGAAAATCTCACTCCTTACTGAGCTCAGATGCTTCTGTTTCCACTGATTGTTGAAATGTTTTTACAACGTGCCTGGAGCACAGCTGTGGTAACTTCATTTGGAAAGGGACATACCGATCTGTTTGGACTGTGAATTAACTTTTTCCTTCATAAATACTGCAGTATACACAGAATTATAACTCAACAGGCGAGTAACAGCTAGCTACACTGGCACAGGTTTTGTTTGTTTAGACGATGACACCTCGTCGCCTCTTATATTCCAAAGATTAGAATATCGTTTGTGTTTGTTGTCACACACAGCTGCCGCTCCACGCTGAGCTTTGATCATGTGATTCTGATTTCAGGTTTGGAAACCGAATCTTTGGTCCGATCTGGAACCGGGACAGTATCGCCTGTGTGGTCCTCACCTTCAAAGAGCCTTTTGGGACTCAAGGCCGAGGAGGATACTTCGATGATTTTGGCATCATTAGGTGAGAGTGAAGCGCTTTGTGACTCTGAATAAACACAAGTTGTCATGTAAAAGTAAAATGTTGTATAGAAATCATGCCACAACATGGGCTGTCTTGTTTCCGTTGGGTGGTGGGGGGTCAGGTTTACGTACAAAGTCATGGGGGGACATCTGCTCTCCTGCTGGTTTGTTTTTGCAGTATGCTCCTTGAGAGTACAGTAATGTCCAGTTTGAGTATGTTGTTGCACAGCAGTTCTAATCAAGACCAGGTGTTTACAGTCTGCGTTCACATCGCCTGCTCTTTTCTGCACAGGGACGTGATGCAGAACCATTTGCTTCAGATTCTCAGTCTAGTTGCCATGGAGAAGCCTGCCACCACCAGCTCCGACGATGTTCGGGACGAAAAGGTTTGTTTTGAATAAATGTTTGAATTCTGTTCTATAATACTATTCTAAATACACTTTTATTGTATGGTTAGAAATGGGAACATTTAGACATTGGTCAATAACATTAAGTGGTTAACAAAGACAAAGTCCGAGGCACTCTGGTTTAAAATAGAAATCCTTTATTATTTGTTTTCCACTTCCTCGTGGATCCTTGAAGAGCACCTGACTCCTCGCGTCTACCCTTAATCTCTTGATCCCCGTGCGCACTCACTCCTGGTGTATTTTAACATACTGGTTGCTTGCGTTGCAGGTGAAAGTGCTGAAGTGCATTGCCCCCGTGAGCATGTCGGACGTGGTGCTGGGGCAGTACGTGGGGGACCCCGACGGAGAGGGAGACGCTAAGCTTGGTTACCTTGACGACACGACTGTTCCCAAAGGGTCCACTCAGGCCACCTTTGCCACAGCTGTGCTTTATGTGCACAACGAACGCTGGGACGGTAAACTTTACTTTCACTATCAGTAAAGGGATAGTGCTGATGATAGAATGTCAGGTATTTATACATTTTGTTTAATGTGTTTCTTAGGGTTACTTTCAAAATGAAAGAAAAATTTCAATTTTTGTGGTCGGAATTAGCAAACAGTAGGCGACAGTAGCTCAGTTGGTAGAGCATTGGCCTTAAGGCCAGAAGGTCGTGGGTTCAATTCCCACCTCTACACCTTCTCCACCGACTCCCACTGATGACTGCTGTTGTTGTGTCCTTGGGCAAGACACTTAACCCCACTTTGCCCAAAAGCCCCCGCTGGAAGATCTCAGCTCCTGTGGACTCACCACCTGCAGAGGGTCAGTGAGGGGCTGGTGCTATGAGACTTGGGTGGCATCTCTGATTACCACCCCCCTGACCCAGAAATGGATTAAAGGGTAGAAAATGGATGGATGGATGGATGGAATTAGCAAATTGAAGATGACTTAAATAATTGCTGTCATTTTAATTCAAATTCCATGTCATTTGACTGCGTTGAAGATTTGTAATTGAAATAAGTATCTTTTGTCTTGTTGCCAGCGGCATTATTTTATAGTTTTTCATAATTTTGTATGCAATTTCATTTGTTGCAAAAATCAGGTTTTCTATTAGAACAAATGATGGCATAGATAGAACTTAAAAAAATATTACTCTTATTATGATTTTATAAACAATCAGGATATCAACAAGTTCTGACAATCTATTTGAATCCCTAACAAACTATTAGAAGAATTTCTAGGACTGCACAACTTTTGGGTAAATATCTATTTAGCACGAAAGTTGTAACGTTAACATTTGGGTCATGACCCGTGCACCAGGCGTCCCGTTCATCCTGCGCTGTGGAAAAGCTCTGAACGAGAGGAAGGCCGAGGTGCGGCTGCAGTTCACCGATGTACCAGGGGACATTTTTAACAACCAGTGCCACAGGAACGAGCTGGTGGTCCGCGTGCAGCCCAACGAGGCCGTCTACGCCAAGATGATGAGCAAAAAGCCTGGAGGTTACTTCCACCCAGAGGAGACGGAGCTGGACCTGACCTACAAGAGCAGATACAAGGTGAGGACACCGGACCATGATGCATTTTAGTGTGTGTGCAATGTTGTATGCTTCGTTATACTCCATCCACACACTGTATACAACCTCATATGAGCACCAGTATAACATGACCATTTAGTTAAAGGCAGAAGAAAACTTTTGTGGCTTGAGTGAGTACTTTAGCTTGTGTTTGCTAACGGGGTATTCGGGTTTGGTTTGGTTGAGGTTGACAGGGTTTAGAGTAATAATAATAATAATAATAATCTTTATTTATATAGCACTTTTAAAAACAGTGTTTACAAAGCGCTGCACAGTCAGCATGATAAACAATAAAAACAGTCATAATGCAAGGTCAAAATAATTAGATACAGAAACACAAAGCAAACAGAGCAAAACACAAAAGAGACTCAACAAAGACAAAGCAGACAATAAAATACAGCATCGGAAGTTTAAAACTAACAGTTAAAAGCTGTTTGATAAAAGTGGGTTTTAAGAAGAGATTTAAAAGAGGATACTGATGGTGCTAGCCTTATCTCCTCGGGCAGGTCGTTCCAAAGCCGAGGAGCCCGGACAGAGAAGGCTCGGTCACCTTTCGTCCGGAGCCTCGACCTTGGAACAGTCAACAGGGACCTGCCCGAGGATCTAAGGCTGCGGGGGGGCTCGTAGGGGGTTAAAAGTTCAGAAATATAGCTTGGTGCCAGACCTAAACGAGCTTTAAAAGTAATCAGTAAAATCTTAAAATCAATTCTAAAACGCACAGGGAGCCAGTGGAGAGACGCTAAAACAGGGGTGATGTGCTCCCTTCTGTTAAAACCAGTGAGAAGTCTGGCTGCTGCGTTCTGAACCAGTTGGAGGTGGGAGAGGGATTTAGCGTCGAGACCGGAGAGGAGGGAGTTGCAGTAGTCGAGGCGGGAGAAGATGAGGGCGTTGACAACTTTATGGAGATCGGGAGGAGTGAGGATGTTTTTGATCTTCGAGATTGTGCGGAGGTGATAGAAGCAGGTTTGGGTGGTTTTATTGATGTGGGAGGGGAAAGTGAGGTGAGAATCAAAAATGACACCAAGATTACGGGCGGAGGGAGTGATGTTTGAGGATAGGGGGCCGAGGTGGGTTTGGATGTGGGATATAGATGGAGGCGGGTTGATGAGGAGGACTTCAGATTTGGAGGTGTTAAGTTGAAGGAAGTTGTGGGCCATCCAACGGTTCACATCGTTAAAACAGTCGACCACAGCAGCCAGACATCCAGGGTCGTTTGGTCTCAGCGGGAGGTAGATCTGTGTGTCGTCCGCATAGCAGTGGAAGGACACGTTATGACGGGCCATAACGTGTCCTAGGGGGAGCATATAAATAGAAAATAAAATGGGACCTAAAATAGAACCTTGCGGCACGCCACAGGTAATGGAGGCTGTAGAGGAGGTAAAATCACCCATGGTGACCGCAGAGGTTCTGTCTAAAAGATAAGAATGAAACCAACCAAGTGGAGTATCTCTGATGCCAACCCACGTTTTGAGGCGATCCAATAAAATCCTGTGGTCGATCGTGTCGAAGGCTGCGCTTAGGTCTAAAAGAATTAAAATAGAGCACCCTCCGCTGTCTGTGGTTAAAAGAAGGTCATTTAAAACTCTAAGGAGGGCTGTCTCTGTACTGTGTTGTGCGTGAATTGAAACAATTTTCTCTAAAACTTTGGATAAAAAAGGAAGTTTTGAAATGGGTCTTGTAGAATATTGACATCGGTTGCTCTGACATCGTTCTATATGGTCTGAGTCTGTTATGTTGTCTGCCTACGTACCTTGACACTACCAGAAGTGAATGTAACGTTGTTGTTATGCAGTAAAGTCCAAGCCTACAACACGCTGGTATTCCGTGGTCATTTCAGTATCTAACAGTGGCGACGAGGTGGTTGTACAGTGGACCCATGTCTCGGCGATGAGCGATTCTACTGTCTCACAGGAGCAGCATATTGAAACAGACAGTAGTGACTCGGAAGAGAGTGTGCATACACAGCGTGACAAGATGGCTAGAGTTGGATCGATAGACCCGTTTGACAGCACAACGGAGGACTGGGTCGAGTATACTGAACGCGTTTCCCAGTATTTTGTGGCAAATGACATAGCAGCGGAGAAACATGTTGCAGTGTTGCTGAGTGCAATGGGGGGGAAAATCATACGGCCTGTTGCGGAGCTTGACTGCACCAGATAAGCCATCAGACAAGACTTTTGATGAATTGGTGAAAGTGATGAAAGAACATTTATTGCCAAAGCCGCTACTAATTGCTGAGCGTTTTAGATTCCACAAGCGAAATCAACATGAGGGAGAATCTATTGTTAGTTATGTGGCTGAGCTGAAGAGACTTACTGAGCACTGTGAATTTGCACAGGGACTGGATGATGCGCTGAGAGACCGCTTGGTATGCGGTATTCTGAACGAGGCCATACAGAAGAGACTGCTTACCGAGGACAAGCTCACTTACAAAAGGGCAGTTGAAATCGCAGTCTCAATGGAAACGGCAGCCAGAGATGCCGTTGAACTGCAAACAGGAGTAAAGGCAATAAATGTGAATAAAATGGCAACAGTCCCACAAGAAAGAGAGCGTGAACCGTGTTACAGGTGTGGGAGGGGCTTCCATTCCCCTTCACAGTGTAGATTTAGGGATGAAGTCTGCAGACTATGTAACAAGACAGGGCACATTCAGAGAGTTTGTCGCTCAGGAAAGTCAAGAGTGAATAAAAGTGAGAGGAAGACTCAGTGGAATGCACACAAGAACAAGAAAGTGTACAATGTAGAGGAAACTGCAGGTGAGGAATCGGGACGAAAGTGAACATACAAACTGCTTGGATGTGTACCATGCTAAAGGTGGTGGCCGGGAAGCGATCTGGCTCACACCCCAGGTGAATGGAAAACAAGTGAAGATGGAACTGGATACCGGCTCTGCAGTGTCAGTGATGGCGCACAGTGACTTTGTGCAGTACTTTGGAGACCAGAAGCTGAACTCGTCATCTGTCCTCCTAAAGACATATACTGGAGAGAAAATCAAGCCCCTCGGCGTATTGCCGGTGGAGGTACAACACAATGGCCAACAATGCACATTGGACTTGTACATTGTAAAAAGAGGAGGACCAGCACTGTGGGGCCGAGACTGGCTGAGGAAATTACAGCTGGATTGGAAGTCCATTAAAAGCCTGCAGGTGGCGCCAAACACCACCGACAAGTCCACAGAGGTCAAATTGGAGACAGTCTTGGTGGCTGCAACGCCTGTATTCCAAGATGGAATTGGGACATTAAAAAACATAAAGGTTATACTGCTTACTGTACTTGTTATCTAGAAAAGGAGGAGTTGTAGAATATTGACATCGGTTGCTCTGACATCGTTCTATATGGTCTGAGTCTGTTATGTTGTCTGCCTACGTACCTTGACACTACCAGAAGTGAATGTAACGTTGTTGTTATGCAGTAAAGTCCAAGCCTACAACACGCTGGTATTCCGTGGTCATTTCAGTATCTAACAGGTCTAAAATTGTTAAAATCAGTAGTGCTTAAATTAGGCTTCTTTAAAAGTGGCTGGACCACAGCATGTTTAAAACTGGATGGGACAAGACCTTGGTCCAGGGACTGATTAATGATTGATAAAATGGAGGGTCCAACCACATTAAAAACATCTTTGAGAAATTTGGTGGGGATGACATCGAGGCTGCACGTGGTTGGTTTCATGTGGAATAAAATGTCAGATAAAAGAGAAAGGGATAAAGGCATAAAATTAGTAAAACAATTAAAATCCAGAGTTTCTCTGTCTATAAAAATTGCTTGGCTGGGAGCAGATATTTGGGCCCGGATATCAGTGATCTTTTTGATAAAATGATTTAAAAATTGTTCACACAGCTCAGTGGATGCATCATTAAAAACAGCAGGACTGGGGTTTGTGATAGAATTTAAAACTTGAAATAAAACTCTAGGATTTGAAATGTTTTGACTGATGGTATTTGAATAAAATAAGGTTCTTGCTTCCTTGACTACGTGTTGATATTGTTTGAGGCTGTCTTTCCAGGCGAGGTGAAATACTGTGAGTTGTGTCTTTTTCCATTTCCGTTCATATTGTCGGCAGGTGCGTAATAGTGCGCGAGTATTTTCATTGAGCCATGGTTGTGGTGTTCTGGTGGGGTTTCTTTGTTTAAAAGGTGCAATGGTGTCTAAAATCCTAAGTGATGTCTGATAAAAGGAGGAGACCTGCTCCTCCAGGCTAAAATGTTGGTTAAAAGTAGTCAAGGAAGCTGCGGTAAAAAGTTGGGAAAATTTAAGAGCAGAGGTGGAGTTAAAAACACGAGAGTGATAAAATGACCCGCTGGAGGCAGGCTGGGGGGCTAAAATAACGTCAAATAAAATAGCTAAGTGGTCCGACACACAGATATCCTTGGTGTTGACATTTCCTGCGCTGAGGCCAAACATTAAAACCAGATCCAGTGTATGGCCCTTAGAATGAGTGGGGACATTTACTATTTGGAGGAGATTAAAAGACTCGATTAAATCAATAAAATCAGAGGTTAAAGGGTGTGGTTTGAGGGGGCAGCAGACATGAATGTTAAAATCACCTAGGATTAAGACTTTGTTGTAGAGGGCCATACACTGGGATAAAAGATCAGAGAATTCTTGAATAAAAACAGGGCTGGGTTTAGGGGGTCTATAAATAATTAAAACAAACACAGGGATATTACAAGAAATGATAAAAGACAGGTGTTCAAATGAAGTAAAAACATTCTGGATACCAGGAGTGCATTTAAAAGTGTTCTTAAAAATAGCTGCAACCCCCCCTCCCTTCCCTGACAGGCGTGGCTGGTAGAGGAAGGTGTAGTCCGGGGGGGTCGCTTCAATGAGGGGGGTGCAGTCGCCTTGCACTTGCCATGTTTCTGTTAAAATCATGAAGTCCAGGTTGTTGTGAGTGATGAAGTCCTGACAGATGAAGGATTTATTGTTGATGGATCTGATGTTTAAAAGTCCAAAGATTGTAGGTGAGGGGTCCAAAGTGGGGGCTGTAGAGGAGCAAAGGGGAACCGGGATGAGACAGGGGAGGGAGAGTTCCCTGGAGGAGGTCCTGTGGGATCGGGGTCTGGAGATGACAGGGATTGACTGAGGGGAAGAGCAGGGGCTGGGTCGATGACAAGGGGAGAGAGGAGGTAATGCGGAGGGTGAAGAGGCAGATAGTCAGATGAAGGTGGTGTGGGACTGTACTGAGTGGATGATGTTGGATGTGAGGAAACGATTACCAAGGGGGTTGATATGGAGTCCATCAGGTCTGAAGAAGGAGGAGCGGTGCCAGAATAAATTAAAATTGTCAATAAAACCAAAATTGTGGAGGGTTGAAGAGAATTTGAGCCAGGTGTGTAGAGCTAATAACCTGCTAAAACGTTCCTCCCCTCGGTTTAGAGTGGGTAGGGGGCCGGAGATAAAAACAGATTTTCCTGAACTTGATAAAAGATTATCAAGATAAGAGAGTAGAGTACTTTTTCCTATACCACACCAGTCCATATCTTGACCAGCTTTTTCTTGTTAAACGACACATCAGATTCTTCATTCGGAACGAGGAAAATGCTCAATATTACAATACAATGTCACATGTGTCCCCTTGTTTTATTGAGCAATCGACAGTTAATGTTTCCACCATTCAACAAATGGATTCATGATTTTTTTATGTGACAACTACAACTTGTTCTCTTGTTCACATTCAGGATGTGAAGCTTCCTGATGCTTATGAACGCCTCATTCTTGACGTTTTCTGTGGAAGTCAGATGCACTTTGTCCGAAGGTCAGTCCCTGGTTTTAAATGGCTTTGCTAACCCTAAACCTAAGGCCTGTAAACATGACATTTGTGTATGTACAAATATATTCAAGGTTGTAAACATGAATTATAATATGTGTATTGTATGCATAGTTCAAATCTAGCTTCAATACTTAAATGTACATGTATTTGTGAAACGTCTTGGGCTCGCATCACTCCAAGTTGACCACTAGATGGCTCACCTCTTCCTCATTATTCCCTTTGCAAAGTGTAAGGTGGTCTTGTGTTATTATGTTCAGTGACGAACTAAGGGAAGCATGGAGGATTTTCACGCCTCTTCTCCATCACATTGAAAAAGAGAAGCCCAAGCCCATTCCATACAAATACGGAAGGTACAAAAACTTTTCCACATATTCTTATTAAATGAAAGTAATTTGCTCTGATTGATTATAATTGTGTTCTATTTTGCAGCCGGGGTCCAGCAGAAGCAGACGAACTGTCAAAAAGAGTAGGCTTTCGTTATGAAGGAACTTATAAATGGGTGAATCCACACAAGCTGTAGTGAAAGAGGCAAAAGTAGCGTTAGTATTGTAGGACGTGGGCGGAGCTGGTTCATGTCCCTTTTACTGAAGTGTCTTTGGAGGCAGTGAAATCGGACTGAAAAACCATGTACAAAAAGTATACTACTTTGGAATTCTTTCTCTGGGGACATTTGTGAAGACATGATCAAACTTAACTTTTATACCACTTCCACTGAGCGTTAAATTTTTCGCATTAGTAGACTAGAAATGAGAGCAATCAAAGCGGCGATATTAGAATGATTCTGACCACTATCATACCAAAGAAGGAAAAGGCATTCTTTATAGAGGGCTGGAAATCTACAAGGACCTATACTACAGAAAAGGTACAGCATAGTGCTTGTCGTAAGTAGTGGACATATTCTTTTCCAATTTTCTTGTTGGACAAAAATGAAAAGCAATATTTAACTTGGAATAAGATCATAGGCAACTCTACCTTTTACGTCTTATTGTGTGATGCTTAAAATACACTTATTATTATTAATTAATTGTGTATGGAGCTGTGAGGTGGCCAGACATGTTAGTTTCTGGAAGTACAATTCTCTATATTTTGAAGAATCCGAAAATAAAATCGAAAATGTTTGCGTCTGATCTAGTGAGTAATGACCACAAGACAGACCTACATGAATATTTAATCAAACATTAAAAACGTATTATTATTTTTTAATTTCAATGTTGTTTCAGCTGAACTCCCGCTCTACTGACGTTCAAACCTTTTCAAAACTCCTATTAGGATTTTGATTTGAGTATTTCACTTCCTGACTCCTAAGCTCTGCCCACTTCGCAGCTCAATTTAACCGCAATAAAAACAAAAGCATACATTCCTATCACAATGAACGAGCAATTAATAATATAAACGCTTCGCTGTTTATGTGTGAAATATTACATACAGTCACTTTCAGGTCATGTTTATAGGTCATTTCCATTTTGACAATTGTGCATAGAGCTCAGTCTTAAGTTTCTTTCATTTAAACGGTGACTTATGTCCTTTTTAGATTTTCAGATTTTCAGATGTAGAAAACAGAAAAGCTTAATGTAACGACACTCTGCTTTAGCTGCATTTGTTAAGACGAAACACACATGATTTTTAGCTTTTGCTTCCTCTGTTTTGGACCAAGCCTGAGTTTTGCTTTAAGCCCGATAAGGAGGCATGGTTTTATTAAGGGTGGGGCAGCTAGTTCTTTTTATGCATTCAAACCCTTGTTGTCTTAAAGACCGCAGTAGACGAGGCTGTTTTATCATCTCCACCGTAGCTCGATATCAATTCCATTGTATCATGTTTACAAATGTTCAAATACAAAAGGAATTCTTCCATTTTATTCAGATGCGACGACAGTCTGTAATGAATTATTGAATGCTGTTGTTTTCCTGATGCTTGTCTCACGCAATACATTTCCAACAACTTTTAATAAACTAGTTTGACTCTGCTTTTTTGTGGGTTATTGAATTGTGGACATTGCACGGAAACATAGCTCCTCAAATCTCAGTGAAATCTCAGTGAAAAAAAGTGGTGTGTTGAATAAGACAACTCTTGGTGGTGCTCTATATAACTTTTCTTTTACTTGTGAAGTTGAACAGTAAGCCATATGGAGCAGCTCACCGTCCGTTTTTGTATATTTGTATATTTTTTCAAGATACTATTGATAAGTTTCAGACAATAAAACAGAATATTCATAGCAATGGCATCTCTACGGAGACGAGACCTTTCACCATAAAAAATAATCGCAAGAATTTGAGTGAGTCCAAACCACAATCTTCTGTTAAAAATGTGATGTTCAAATTTTAAAGCTGAGGTACCTATTTTTTTTGTTCCATAAATACCACATGTTGTTAGTCCCAAAAGAAAAATGTCTGAACCAAATCCGACCACACATTACATCATCTCATGTGAATACTCGTGAAAGAATCAAAGTGTTTTATAGCCAGGAACTAGTTACATGTATTGTATTACATTAGGTACTCCAGCTTTAACCGGACAGAAACACATGGATATATTTATTGTGAGATCTTGGAAGACATGAAATGTTGAGGGCATTGTTAAAGTGACTTTTGAAATAACTAATAAAATCCCCAAAATATGGCTTGGGGTATATTTTGAGTAAGAGACATTAAGATAGAAACTTTATACTTCTTATGATTTAATAGATTTTATACTTAATTCTAGTTTCCTCATTATGCGGAAGTCGTAGATTTTTAGATTTGCGCCCTTATTATGATAAAGCTATAAATTGTATACTTCTACTGCTTTTTTTCTATGCTGACGTAGAGATTTTATTTTATTTTAGTCTAGTTATTGTTCATTTATCTTGTGTTGTGTGCTCCTCATACTTGTTCTGTAACCGGTGATGCAAAACTGCAATTTCCCCACTGTGGGACTAATGAAGGATCTCTCTTAATCTTAAACAGGTTCCTGATAAAGTCCTAAACCAAACCTCAAACTGAAAAGTCGACATCCCAAATGCTAAAAGCCGATTCACAAAGACAAAAACTGATAATATTCTTTTATTAACACACATTTACAAACACGTTAAAAGGAAGCGACGCTCTTCGGTCAGTTTGAGTCGGCAGCTGATGTCCACATGGACGGCGTTACGGTTGTCACGTCTTTGATAATATTATGGCCATGACTTAACCACCATGCACAAAAAGGCACTTGTGTTTTTTTTCATTTTGCTGTGCGTTCAGGGTACATACAGTACAATGACAGTTAAGACTCACAGTGACTTTTTAAGACTCAAGATCGTCAATGTGAAATTATCTGGCAGCGACTACGGTATAATTAGGATTCCATGCATTCTCTGGACGACGGCAATTGACGATTATTCCGGGCATATCATCTGCAGACATTGGCACACCTACCAGAACAATTACATAATCCACCTTCACAGCGCTAGAGAGATTAAACTAGCATGTTTGAGAAATCTAACTCTGGAGGAAGATACAGGGGAAATTCTGAAAATTTTATATTGTAAAAGTTTAAAAATGTATTAGTCTAATTCAACTTAAAATGTGAAACTAGTATATGATGTGAATATACTGTATATACATGACATGTGCCCTGTTGTTATTTTTTTCTGTTATTTCATTTCCAAGATGTGAGCCAATTATAACATTAAAACCAATAAAGGCTTGATATGTGTTGCAGGTAAAGTATGTCACACAATGGTTTCACATTTAAGTTGAATTGACTTTTGAACGATATTCTAATTTTCCGAGTTTCACTTTCTGTTTTTCATTTTACAAGTCCTTTTCACGTAAGTAGAAATCCATTCTGTTTAGCCGTTGCGACGTTGCATTTCAGTTCAACCGCATGAAACAGAACATTGAAACAGGCGCGGACTCGACATCCATCACAAATGACTAAAAGAACCGAGAGGCTCATCGTTGGCCGGCTGTTTGATCCACACATGTTTGAGATGATTCCAGCAGAGAGCACTTCATAAAGGGCCAAAAGTGCACAAGAGTTTGCTCCCATCACACCAAGAGTAAACACACTCTGAGTAATGGTTTTGGTTTTGCCCTATCCTATTGTCCATCTCACTGCTCTCTCTGTAACTTCAGACTTGAGGATCATACAAGCATCATACATGTATCGACCAAAAAAAAAACTAAAGTTATTGCTGCTTTCTATGCGGAAATGCCATAATGGAAAGACCGGGCCTCTCAGTCCACAGCCATCTACATGTGCAACAGTTTAAACTAGGATTGTCACAAGTATAGAAAGTATAGATCAGGCGTATTCAACTTGGCCTTCCAACCAAGCATTAGCAACAACAGACTCCACCCATTTCCTCATGTCTTTCCTAGGGTTTAGACTGGACTCACTTGAGGGAAAGTGTGGCGTCTGCTGTGCTCCTGCTTGGTTGGAATGAAAACCTGCAGCCACTCAGCCCTTTGAGAATTGACACCCCTGGTATGGATGCTAGTATCAAAACATAGTTACTTGTTTCAGAAATGATCAATACCGAATAAGAATAGAGAAAAAAATGGGAAATTCTCGGTTTTTGATTGACTGCAGACCACTAATATAAAATTGGTCATTCCATTAAAAAGTACTATATTTGTATAGCTGATTTGTTATTTCTGTTAAAAATTGCAGCTCAGTTAAAACATTTAAAAATACAGCCAATGATGCATTGTCTGTAACTTGCTTAAAATTGCAGCTCATTGCCATGTCTCATCATAGCATCAAAACCGATTCAAAGTACCAGAACTGAGTTTATAATGTTATCATTGTGACAACACTAGTTTAATGACATTTCTAAACCTTGATGGAGCTGATGAAATGGTGCGGTTGTTCCAGTACAGTACGTCCTGTTTGGTGCAGAGACAGTGGTTCTTCCCTCTTTGGCCTGGAGGCTCTGGTGGTGCGTTCACATGTGCTCTGGGTGATTCTGCAAACAGCTTATAAACTCTGTGACCGGGTGTCCCTGAAAGCAGATCTCGTACACCGCGTTGAACAGAGGAAACCTGCGCACAGGAGAAACACGCCATGTCAGCTATGAAGACCTGCGACCAAACCCGGAACCCATAATCTTATTATATTCTTATATTTAAAACCTGCGCAATATATTTTCACGCCACAATACCACTCGGGTATAACATTGAAAACCGATTGTCTTTTAGATCCTGAAAGGTCAGCGAACATGGTATTTATTTCACATTTGACCAAAACAAAGCTTAAGTGATGCATAGAGACTCTTACACATTGGGGTGTTTGCAGAAAGAGTTGACAATGTATTTTTATCAGTCATGTAGAATTATCTCAGTCATAAAACCTCTTCTCCACTCGTTTAAGTATATGTAAAGACAAAAATGATGAATTGATTGCTCAATTAGTTCACAACAACCTATTATTAGTATTTCAACAATCAAGTAATTGTGATTAATCTATTAACTTGTAACAGCCCTATTGCAGTATAATACTGTACATTGACTGACCCGGAAATCAAGCATGATATTTGAACAAATTGTTGGACACTGAATTATAAAACATTGAATATTTTGATACTACATTTTAAAACATTAAATATTTTTAGCACTGAATTTTAAAACATTGAATTTATTTAGACTGAATTATTTTTTGTTATACTTTATATAATTCAAAGGCAAAAAAAAGTGTTAATAATAAAAACACAAAATAACCTTCATAGTACAGTACATACAGTAAAACAATATACTACTAGCGATGGTATAGACAGAAAAAGACAAGACACACACACACACATAACAGACCTAGGCTCAAACACTCTCTGACCCTACACCTCTCTCCTATTACTTGCTCTGTGCCGTCTTTCCTCTGCATACATCTTCAGTGCTTATTCAATACATGTTTTTCTCTTCCTGTTGGGGGACTTACTTGTCAATGAGGTTTTTGTGCTTCAAGATGAGGTTCACTTCTGCGGCTGTGGCTGGTCCCTGCAGCTTCTGTCCGTTCAGCATTTCTTTCTCCAGTTCTTCAATCGACTAAAAAAAAAAAACCCACAGGCACACATACAGTTTTAAACAGAGCCACACAACCGCACAATAGATTCCACATTTAGGTCAAGAGTCTCAGTGGGACACACTTAAAAGGTTTAATCACTGAATCGTGCCTGTAAAGGTGACACATAATGACTTATTTTGTATATTTCATCATTCCAGAGACCTGTGAGTAGAGCACATAGAGACATTGTTTTCCTTCTTTTTCTTATTTAGATGTAGAGAGTGTGTGTCAGAAGACTCGATTGTGACATTGAAAGAGATTAAATGACTTGGCAATTTTTTTTTTTTTAAACAGTGGCAGGTCTTCTTCAGGGCTGCTCCGATTATGTGTTTATTGATTCCTTGTGACAAACATATTGTATTTAGTACCATCTTAAGAGACAGTAATTAGAAAAAATAATTGTTCTAAATACTTAAAAAGATTTAATTGATAGATAGACAGGCAGAAAGACAGATAGATAGATAGACAGATAGATGATAGTAAGATAGATGGGTAGATGAATAGTAATATAGATAGATCACATACAGAGAACAACATAAGAGAAGGAAACACAACAATACACATGCAATACAGGGACATGGAGACTGTTAAGAGCAGCTATGGTGGAAACTGTTTCTTAAACCTTATATTTATCTTACTTATTAATTGACAACAGTTCGTTAAGTGTGTGTACTTTTTTGACTTGATCAATAAAGTACCATCTCTCTACGTGTGAGACTGCCATGCTACAGTCAAAGCAGATGGTACTGGGTTGTGGGACATTTGAACTGGGCCACAAAGGAAAGAATAAATCATTTCTCTCCATATATCTTGGTCATGTGACACGATGGTGCTGGAATGTAAATAGAAATATGAGGCTTTTGCAGGGCGACAGTAGCTCAGTTGGTAGAGCATTGGCCTTGAGCCCAGAAGGTCGTGGGTTCAATTCCCACCTCTGCACCTTCTCCACCGACTCCCACTGATGACTGCTGTCGTTGTGTCCTTGGGCAAGACACTTAACCCCACTTTGCCCAAAGCCCCCACTGAAAGATCAAGGCTATGCTCACACTCAGAGAGCAGCCGTCCTCCTGTGGACTCACCACCTGCAGAGGGTCAGTGAGGGGCTGGTGCTATGAGACTTGGGTGGCATCTCTGATTGCCACCCCCCTGACCCAGAAATGGATTAAAGGGTAGAAAATGGATGGATGGATGGATGGGCTTTTGCCATCACCTTCCCGGTCCTGGCAAAAGCCTCGGCCACTTTGCGGTTGCGTCCTCCGTAGCAGGTGGTGATGAGGTCGGCCACTCCGCAGCTCTCCAGGAAGGTGGCGGAGGAGACGGGCCCCGCGGTGCAGAAGATGCGGGCAAAGGCGATCATCTCCATCAGCCCCAACCGGATCACAGCAGCCTTTGTGTTATCACCAAAGCCCAGGCCGTCACAGAACCCAGCTCCGACCGCCACAATGTTCTGCAGAGAGAGAGAAGGGGAGATGTGGACAGTTTGAAAACCGTGTCCACGGTAAATAATGTGTTTTATTGGAACAAAACCTCTTGTAAGACTGAATTCATGTTTCAAAGTTGACAAACACGTGAGGTTTTCTGATGTTAATGATTCTGCAGGTGATATTCTCGTTTGAAAAAGGGAATGTTTCATAAGTCCATTTACTTCTGCATGTCTAAATACACTGTGAGACTAATACTGTATGTTATAGACTCATTACACACACAGTAAGATATATTTTCACTGTGGGACGACTAAAGGTTATCTTAATCACTCTTTATTTATTATAATCTCACAGCTGTAGAGACTCCAAATAAAATATCTAAGAAAATGTGTAAGCCATAATTCTCATAATTATAACAAAGGCTTGTGTCACTTTGCATATTCTGAAGTTTCACAAGTAGTTTACAACAAATGTGCTTATAAGGTAAAAATAAAATAACAAAATAAATAAACAGTCAGGAGTAAGACTTGGTGTCAGGATATGATCACTGATACAGTGTTATGGGCCTTTACAGCTGATGTTTTATTTATTTTACTATCACACAAAGCTGCAGTTGCTGCCTCCTAAAGGATGGAATATATCAATGAAGGGCAGATTGAACACAGACTGGTGACATCACATAAAAAATATGGGAATCAAGTTATTAAGTTATACTTGGATTGAGCAGAGAATGTGTTTGTCTGAGGGCAGATTTGCACAAAAACTACTGGACGGACTTAGCTGAAATGTGGTGCGTGGATAGAAGACGGCACACGTTCTCCCCCAGTGCTCTTTCTAGCAGTTATTTTCCTTCTCTAAATATTTAACTAAAGTAACAGAATGTCATGGATCTCCTACAAGTGGAGCAGATGTAGTGATTTAATTCTTAACCTTTAAAGCTCCGCAGATTTCCACCACGTCGTATTCCTCCACAACTGTGACCCGGAAGTTGTTTGTCTGCATGAGCTCCTTCAGCAGAGCTCCGTGGTTTTTGTTCTTACATCCTGCGAAACAGTACAACACACTGTTCAGTCGTGACACCTGGATAATAACCACAAGTTCCATAATCCACAAATGTGATCATTACACTCCCAGCAACAGAGCGGAGGTCACTGACACAAACTCCTAACATGGAAAGTACAGTCTGGGGATATACAAAGTCTGTAGTCACTTTTGCAGCCTTGCTTGTGATTGAAGTGCAGCTGTGTGTATGAACTCAATGTTCAAACGTATATACTGTAGAGTATGGTGATGTAAAGATGCAGTATGTTTCGCAGGTTCCAGTATAGTATGAAGTACATCCACAGAACTACACTGTATAGCACCAAAACCATCAGTGGAAACTGTAGGTTTTGAAACCCAGGCTACAGTAACTCCAATGCCTGAGGACGCCCCCTATTGCATATTTAAGGCAGAACACCTGAAACAAGACTTTGGCTTAGGCCTGGGCAATAAATCGAATTTAGGCAATTAATCGGCTTTTGAAAAAATCGAATTTGTGAAAAATGTGAAAATTGTGAAATCGAATGAAGGATATTGTTAGAGTTCCTGCAGCACATGAATTATACTTTCAATATCAGCACAGTCTGTACAGGACTTTTATAATACGTATTGGGGGAAACAAATTAAAAATACTTTCAAAACTTGAATATTAAGCGGAAAGATAAAAAAATATTTTAAGGGCAAAGTCTGTCTTCAGTGACTTTAATGAAAATTAATTTAAAATCGAAATCGTCCAAAACAGGAAATAAAATCGAGATCTAACTTTTTTGCCATATCGCCCAGCCCTACTTTGGCTATATAAAAATCAGCATTTTAATAGTTAGAACAAGAAACCTATTATTTGACCCAATGGTTGAGCAAAGTTGGCCATAACATTCAGCTTCAAAAGGCCTCCAAACCGGATAGAGAAATGTTTTTTCTTGGATTAGGGCTGTTCTTGATTCATTATGATTCATAGATTAGTTACATAAAAAAAATAAGTGCTTGATGCAACATTTTATGTAAAAAAGTTGATATTTTTGCATATTTGACCTGGTGGTACCAAGTGGCTGTGAGAGTAGTCTTAACTTTCCATCACAGTGGTCTGAATGACCAGAAACACACCCGTGATTAAAAGTTAAGGCACCATACTGACCACTCATACAGTCACACATAAAAAGTTTAACGTACAATGTACAAAAAAATGTGCAGGGAGCCTCATTCAAATGCCAAATCTAAATCTGGTGACCACAAACCCCTGAGCCCTGGTGTGTGGCTGAGTATCGCTAATTCTCATTGTTTTGGATATTGTGACGCCCTAACTTCTCTCTCCTTGTCCACAGTCTGAAGTGTTCACTCTTCTTACATTGAGGTCAAGTACATGATGAAAGTGTCATATTTAACATTCCTCTGCTGTCAGGCCATCAGCGCTCTCACCGATCGTGGTCTCGCAGAACTTCTCGTCTGCCACTTCATTAGCGATGTTGGCCCCCATGAGGACACTCATGGTGATGCCCAGCTTCTCCTGGATCACGTCAGAGATCAGTTTGAGTCCGTCGGGCCCTTCATCTACACCCTGCACACAAAAACATCCATCTCACATTACACAGGGTCAAAGTCCAGCATGTGCAGGGAGCCAAAGCCTTTCAGAAGTCCCGAGGATTGCGTAACAGTGATGTAACAGCTTTGGCAATGTTTGGAGATCACCACATTCTCTAAAAAAACCCATCACTACATGCAACACCAAGGATTAAAAAGCGGTGCCATAATAACCTTGATTAGAGAAATGCCCAGGGCGTCTGTCTTGATCTTGCCTTTCATCGTGTCACAGGCTCTTCCAATGAACTGATGAGGAATGACGAAAATCAAAATGTCTGCGTCTTTGGAGGCCTCCACAAGGTCCGGAACGGCAAGCTGCAATATGACAAGATATTAGCTACATTAAAACAGACAAAGAGAAAATATACCACTTATTTGTTTGATTTATGTGTAATGTAGGTTTCATAATGGAGTCTTAATGTGAGGCTGTTGTTATAGTGTATAGTGTAGGATATACTGCTGAAACAAGTTCAACTGATTTATTCTAAACTGATCGAATATTCAACTAATTTAGCAATCAATAAATAGTTATTTTAAGACCTTAAAACATAATGAGAATAGTTTTATGACGTATATCATTCTATATGACTGCAGAATGGGTAAAACAGTAAATTTTTAGATTTTTAGATTAGACTGTTTAGATTTTTTTCTAAAAATATTTCATTGATATAGTTTTTTTTATATATATATATTATATTTTGACTTTGACAACAAATCATTTCAAATTCAGGGGGAAAAATACATATTTTTATTAAACAGGGGCAGAGCATTAGATAAGGGGCCAACATCTAATCTTTTTTACTGGATGGTATCGTACATATTATATCGAATTGGATTGGTCTGGAGATATGTATCGTATCGGCAGGCTCTCAAAGACCCATTGATAGTATTTGTAATCACTTCTCCAGGGGCATCACTTGAGTTTTGTTTTGGTCAACCTTTGGGAATTGATCAAAAGAATAAACAGCCAGCCAATCAACAATCAAAGTAATAGTTAATAATCACAGCCCTAGGACATAGTGGCTATTCTTAACAAATATATCATACTGTTGTGATAGTAGTAGTCATGGGTTGAAAAAAAAAAAAACCACAAGCTTTAAGTTCTTACCACATTCTCTGGGAGCTTATGTCCGGGCAGGTACTTGACATTCACATGCTCAGTGTTGATAAGTTCAGTCAGTTTGCGTCCGTCCACTATCTCCTCAAACACCCACATTTTCACTGTGCTGTCAAACGTAGGATTCTGTGCAGCGTTGGCACCCACGATTTTGGCGATCGCAGAACCCCTGTAAAGAGAGTAGTAATCAGCTTTATTTCAATGTTAAAAGACACACACTGACTACATTTGGTAAACATTATTAACAGGACAATGAATACAAATGAGGCTCCCACACACACCCCTGATTGTTTGAGTGTGATATTGATATTTACTCAAGAGTCATTACCTACTCCATCTACTCTAGTCTCAATAACAAGCCACGAGGAGGAACGAGACTGCAGAGAACCAAGAAATGAGTCAATTTCATTCTTCATTATTGTAGCTACAGGATACAATGACAGAGATTCAAGCCTGACTCACTTATGGTTGAAGGCAACACTAGGGACATAGTGAGTGTTCTTTCAGTTCAGATAATAATTAACATTTCATATGAGATGTACTTGTTTTAACTGCAGAGTTCATCCACAGAGGTTTGTGTGTGTATATGACTTTTTGCTATCAAATATTGGGCGTTTTCTAGTACACAATTCTGTTCAAATTCATTGTTCGATAAAATAACATAAAATCCACATTCTGGCTTCACTAAATTGTCTATCTCAGCGTGAACCATTTTTGGAGCCTTTTTAAGAGGTTTCTCATTGCACTGATTATTACATAAGATTACATAAGTGGTCCTCTACTCCTAGCATATTTTTCAGCATCTTTCTTCTGTACCTGAGAATGAAAAGCAACTGTCTTGTGAAGAAAATATATATATTTTTTGTTATGGAAGAGCACAATAGTAAACAATGAATGAAATGAATAAACCAATCACGGGAAATAACAGGCTATAATGGCTTTTGATGTACATGCACTCAGGAGGATACTGCTCACAGAAAGTAGGTTACATGTGAATAATACTGATAAGACAGCTTGTTACTTGTTAGAGGAGCCTCTGGGCCAGGACCTAAGAGACAGTTTTTACCACAGAGCAATCACACTCATGAACTCTCACACCGTTAAAGCACACTGAATGCACTTTAATGTAACATAAGGTAATGATGTACTATACTATCAACAGCAGCTTTGTACAGTCTCCTGTATATGCATTATGTTTATCTGTATTGTAAATATTATCCTATACTTGCACTATTGCACTTCTGGTTAGACGCTAAAGTGCATTTTGTAACAATAAAGTTGAATCTTATCTAATCTACTTTTTACTCAATTCGATAGGCCTCTTAGATTATCTTTCCCTGCAAAACAATATCAATCAATCTGGACAGCAGTTATGTACAGTATTTTAAGACACAATCTCTGTTTTGAGTGCAGAAAGGAGCAGAGATGACAGCTGAGAATAAGGGGCTGTGTTACTTGTATACTGTATATAGAAACTCCACAGGTTTTAGATGTAATGCAGTTAAAATACAAGTAGATATTCAAGTACAGCTTTGACAAATGTACTCCCAAAAACAATAGACAATTCTTTATCATAACAGTAATATTAATTGCAGGTTAATTAGTTTCTTTACACCTTTGAATCTCTGTTATCAAGGATTTTTAAGGTCACAGCTTGTGCTAATGTTATTGTTAGATTGGAAAGAGGGCATGCAGTTACAGTTTAACGCAGGTGAAGTCGTGACTTTTATGATAATAATACATGTCACCGCTGTACTACCATGGAGCATAGTGCAGAGGCTGTTTTCACACAAACCAAACTCAACTACACGTATAAAGTCTATAGTTTATCCACACGTAAACCCGCAATACTCAAAAATAAATAGGATGCTAACACGCCGTATATGCCCACTGCACTCATGCTAGTTTGTTAGCACTGCTGGACGGTGCACTGAAACCGCTGCGCTGTCGTCCCTATGTAATTATTATACATAAAAAAAATAAAATAAAATAAAAATCTATATTCCAGACTCAAGGTCAATGTAAAAGGCAACACAAATACACTACAAGACACACACACACTATAATAAAATAAAAATAAAAACATGCTTGTATCCTGGTTAACGTAAATAATACAGACATTCACGCGCGCAATAATAATGGCTTTTCTCTTACCAGTTTCCAGAGCCCACCACGCAGACTTTCTTCGAAGCTGCCATGTTGAAGAGGTGCAGAGGGGTTTGTGGGGATCTGCAGCAGTGTGAGTGGTGTTGTTATGCAATGACCAGAACCCGATGGCACCCAACTCCACCACAGAGGCACCCATGCTCTTATTGGCCCGTGTGAAGGGGACCCGACCCGCCCACCACCAACTCTGCCACTACCGCTGCCACTACAGTACCGCTGATCACTCATTCATCCGCGGGCCACGGTCCGGGAGGTGAGGGGGTGCACTGGGTCACAGGTCTCAGGGCAAAGTCTGCAGAGGAAGCGAAACACCACTTCCCTCAATGCCTGGGTTTAAGTCTAGGACAGTTAGTTTCAGGTTGGAGATTTGGCAACCATAGACTGTAAATGTTAACTACAGCCTATGATTTTAACTACAACCAGCGGTTCTATTGGCCAGATAAAGTTATTGGTGGTCGGAGGTGGTTTCGCTTCAGTCAGTCTGCCCCAGGACAGCTGTGGCTCCAGTAGTAGTTTACCTCCACCGTGTATTTTGTGTATGAACAGTGCTTTATGAGGCTTCTTTGGGTGTCATGAAAATCACTAACGCTGCTTTATTATTGTTATGATGATGATTATTGTTATTACATAATCAATAGTTTTATTATTTTGCATTAAACTTGGAAAGAATGTATACATATATTTAGTGTATTATAACATTTTGGAAATAAATATATCATAAATATGTTATACAAACTTCTATTCTTTTTGCTTAAGGCTTTTGGAGTGGGTGACTGTGATGTCCCAGTCCCATTGAGATAGGCACAGGAAATCTTTTTTTTAATAGTTTTCTGTTGATAGTATGTTACTGATGGAACTGGTAAGTTTCTTATTAACTTGTTAGTTTCTGTGTATGGTTAACGCATGTAGTATAGACATCAATATAAGTCCTCACCTTTATATTTTTAGGATCTACCTTTGTTTTTTGGCATAAAAAAAGAACAGCCAAAATTATATTCATATAAAATTAAATGATAAATGGTGACCTTTTGCTATTATCTCTAATTGGACTTTTCCTGTAATGTCAGTCACGCTGCTAATACTCAGGGTATTATTCTCAATAAAGCGCTTTGTGAACCAGGGCTGTATATTCCTTGGCAGAGTCATCAGTCATGGGAAAATAAGGAAGAGGTGTCTTTGCAGTGCACCCTATGAGGAAGCAAAAGTGCACTTCAGCAACACAGTCTGCGGACTTGGGTAAAAAAAAAAAGTTTTGTTCGTATCTACTTTTTTGGCCTATATTTTGTCAGCAGGACTTATTAACCCTGCATGATATAGTCCTGCTCATTTTACCTTTGAAAAAAACTCAGATTTCATACACAGGATCAAAGCTGCAGGCGACAATAAAATATCATGTTTTTATTCAAACAATTTGCTGACATTTCCAAACACCACAAAAAGCCATCTGTCATACACTGATTTGCACTGGTTTTGTTCGGAACTCATGCAGTAAAAAGAACCACATTTATGCAGACTATGTTGCGCAGCATGGGACTTTACAAACCAATACAATAATGAAAATAATGAATTTGAATGTTGATCATTTCGCTGGAACTGGACTTCACACATGGAATTAGCAATATCAAACACAGTAGTACCACATTAGACACAGGCAGATACAGTTTCCCTTCAGATTCAACATATTTACACTAAGTTATACAGTTGGCAATGGTTGTGCTTGATTATAAAACATAGTACAATGAAAAAATACGCAATAAATGTCCCCTCACACAATCTAATATCTACATTACTGCTTCTATTCCTCAGTTTGGATGCTTCAGCTGCAGTGGACACTTTGACCCATGGCTGCAGTAAGTGAATGCATTTTAACTGGACTGATTGTCATGTATAAGCACCACTTTACTTTCGCTATCATGTAATATCACATTTTATGACATTGTTTTATCAATTCATGTATGCGGACTATTTCGTTCACTTTAGCAGTTCAGATGACATAATGCTGTGGTAATGGTGGATGCGGCAAAAAGAGGTAGATTTTATGTAAAAAAATTAAAAATAAAAACAAATATCACTGTGTAAACTTATACCAGAATTACATACACCATATTACAAAACAGATCTCAGAAGCTCAGCATGTCAGGGCCTGGTTCGTGCTTGGATGGGAGACCAGGTGCACACATAAGAATCTGCTGTCATGTGAGTGTTGGTGCTCGGAGAAGTTGATGGCACAGATTGGTGGCGTCTCCTTTTTCAGTCTACCCCAGGGCAACTGTGGCTACAGCACCTCTGTATGGTGTGAATGACTGATGCAATGAAAATCAGTTTCTACAAAAAACACAATAAAATGTTCAGGTAAAACTTGGAAAATTGGAGTTCACATATTTTTGTAACTCAACTTACAATGTTAAAATGATGCAGACTCATTAAACACAAAGTGACATATGGCAAGCTTTTTTTGTTATCATTTTGTTGATTATAGCGTTTTTTTTTCTTTTTCTTACAAGCTGGGAACCAATTACGGCCTGGGTCTGGATAGTATTGTGATGGGAGACCTCTGGGAACACCAGGTGCCACAGTAGGGCGGCTGCAGCTGTAAAGTGCTGTATTTGTATCCTCATTCTTGCATCCTTAAAGAGATAGAGTCTGGTGTGTGTATAATTGGTGGTGGTCGGTGGGGCTGATGGCACATACTTGTTGCCTCGCTTATGTCATAGTTTTCCCCATGGCAGCAATGGCTACAGTCAAACTTTATCACCACTGTGTAAGGGGTGAAAAAAAAATGCCATTTGAAGCATTTAAGTGTCCAAAAATGTGTTATATAAAACCAACATTATAACAAAAATGACTTGATATATGTCACTTTGCGTGTCTGAGTCTGTCATTCATTAGTTTCACATTTTAAGTTGAATTACAGACGTAAATGACATTTTGAACGATGTTTCACGTGTAAATAATTTGATCTCCTTCAAGTCAAATTGCAATTTATCTTTGATTGCAATTCATTTACATGTGGTCCAAACCTGATTTCTTTATGAAAATTCTCTGTAATGGTTAAAAACATAGATAGAAAAACTTGGCATGACTGAGCAAAACAGCTGAACACATTTCCTCCTCAACACTTCCTTTCTCCAATACTTTAATAGCCGCTGGAGCTCATATGTATTTACAAAGCAGATCTTGGAACGTGTCTCTGTCCTTTAGTCCCGTTTTGCAGCTCTCCAGTGAGGCCACAGAACCAGGGCCGGCCCATATTACAGTGAATTCCTCCAGACGAGTACCTTCTTCAGGTCTTCACTGTGGTAAAGTTCACTGGGCCGTAAACAGCTGTCCTCTGGAGCCTAGTGGAAGTTAGTCACGTGGCACTTGACGTCGTCCAGGCTGAGCACGGTGCCCTGGTCCCCGCTGGAGCCGTGTTTGTGTTTCTTATCGGAGCATGGACACAGTTTGTACTTCAGGACCTGCCATCGAAACAAAGAAGTGGAGTCGTCACACAAGGGGGACTTTAACTGCTGAGAAGACCATTGGTAGATTTACTACACTAACACGATAAGACTCAATTCAACTGAGATTACAGCAGGTTTCATACAGATAAAACAAATTCACCCAGTAGTTCTCAAACTCTTCACATTAAAGTTGGGGAGTGTAAGTTTGTCTTTGATTAATAATCAGGACTGGGGCTTTGTGAACTGGGTGCAGCTCTGACTGCCACTCCCGCAACCCGGAAATGGATTAAGGGGAAGAAAATGGATTGATGGATGGAAGGATAATTCTTTTTTTTATTGTCCTAACAGAAAGAATCATGCAAAAGTTAAACGTGTATATAGTACACAAAAAAGGATCTCAGCTTCCAATTTCTGAAATTTCCCCCCATGTGGGAAAAAAATTGACCTGTGAGTCACTCTATGACGACTTTGGTGGAGGAACCAGTTGGATGGATATAATATTTTGTGGTTTAAAACTTAGGTACTCCAGCTTTAAATACCACTTACTGTAACTCTTGTGCTATCCTCGGGTCAAAATATCTCGCACAGTGATTAAAAATCCCCCAAATTATTACTTTTTCCATCTTAACTTTGATGACTTTTCCTAAATTGACCAGCCCTGGGTCATTGAGAGCCTTTATTTCCCTAATTTAGAGTGTATTTCTTTTACATTTAATCACTGTGGTGGGTCATTTTGACCTGAGGATAGTATATGGGTTATAATAGGCCTTTCTTCTGTAGTTCTAAATAATTAATAGCCCAAATAAGATGCATGAAATCAAAATAAAATATGACTCTGTAATGCATGTACCACCTAATGAAACCCAAGTTCCAAAAATGGGAAATTCACCAATCAATCAACATGTTTCAATCTCATGCTTGTGATGTGGGACTCCCATGGCATCATTAGAAAAAAATACTAGTTAGTTCCAGAAGTATTCAGTTTTGACATAAAATTACTATAAAAAGTAAAATTATCATATTGATCTGTGTATAATGTTGAATTGTATTAATAATAAATACATTCATTCAGACAGTGTGTCCTCACCTCATAGAGATAATCAAACAACTCCAAAATGGTGAGTATACTGGCTCCAATGAAGAGCCCCATCTGTCCTCCGATGTCACCTGTGAAAAACAGTGGTTTATCAATGATGATTTTAGCCAGGACCCGGCAACGGATAAAGTGGAAGGAAAATATACTTTAACAAGAGGTCGAAATACAAAAGGAATACCTAAAAGCCCAGCCACTTCATACGCCTTCTTCTGCTCTATCGTCTCATAATTAAGAGCCTCGAAGAAGATGTCCAGGACAAGTATATTATCCCTGAGATGAGAAAGAGAATTAATTATGTGTTTGTAACGATAAATTATAGATCCATGGTTTGTAATTAAGTATGAAAAAATGATACATGAAAAGTTGATTGATTGAGGAAATCATTGGGGACTGAAACTTGTTTTAAAAAGTTTGGTTTTCTTTGGCACAAAAGTTCAATCATTTGTTGGATTGAGCCAAAATATCTATAACGTTACTCTAAAACTTGTAAAACAATACTAAAACTGGAGTACCTTTAAACTAAAAAAAAAAAAACATACACACAGCTGACATAAAATCCATCTAATTTGTTCCTCCCTCTCAAAACTGGTTCCATCAGTAGTTTTCACATGCATGCATCTTTGGCCTCTATCACATATTGGGATCAGCTTTTTCAGACAGAAAAGTGACCACCCTCACTCAGCCAATCAGGTTTCCAATGGCAATATTTGTTTTAGTAGTAGTAGTAATAGTAGTCGCAGTTGTAGCGGTAGCAGCAGCAGTAGTAGTAGTAAGAGCTGTAGTAGTAGTAGTAGTAGTAGTAGTAGTACTAATAGTAGAAGTACTACTATTAGTTGTACTTCTACTATTACTATTACTACTACTACTACCGCTATTACTACTACTAGTAATAGAAGTACTAATACTAGTAGTAGCATCAGTAGCAAGTAGCAATACGCAGTTGTAGTAGTAGAAGTGGCAGTATTCATCAGCAGCAGTACCCCTGAGCAGCAGGCTGTGAGTGGCACGTACTTGATGTACTGCTCTGTGCGGTTGTACTTCTTGGCCAAATACTTGGTGGAGGCTTTACTGGGAATCTTCACAAACGACAGCTCTTTGTTGTATCGTGTCATGTTGCAGGGAGTCTCACACACACAGAAGTCATTGTCCCGCTCCACCAGGAAGTCTGCACAAAAACACACACACACTTATGAGACTGTATCATTACAATCAGTGCAATGGGAAAATGTTAGGTTGAAAAGTCTATGAGCGTCAGTTTTAAACGTAGAAATAAAAATAAGTATCTGCCATCGGCCCCTTTGTCCACCACCAGCCATTCACTCTCACACCAGAGTCATTCTAGGCAACGTGGGTGAAGTGTCTTGCCTAAAGACACAACAACAGTTTGGCACTTTACAGCCACAGCTGCCCCACTGTGGCACCTGGTGTTTCCAGAGGTCTCCCATCACAGTAACCAGACCCTGCTCTGGTTAGCTTCAGAGGCCTGACTGGATCTGGATTTAATATTTTCTTCATCCACACAGAACATGCATTGGACATTATGGCACATTGTGAGTAACAAACTAGTACAATTTAGATATCATATGTGTCAGATGGGGTTACGGCAAACTATAGGGAGAGGGGAAAAAAGATAATTTATGTAGTGAAAGCAGAATCTAGTGCTTTCATTACTTTGCAATTGCATCATACAGTCATTTGAACTATACATTTGCTTTAGAATTCCACAAAAATAAAACAAATTCTCACCAAGCGCAGGATCAGCACATTCCTTATACAGCTCCGGAGTGCAGTAAGGTGCATCTCCTGCAGACAAAAAACAACATATTAGTCCATTCAACTGTTTAAAAATAATTCATATTTGTATGACGTTGTTACTATTTGATTAAAGGGGCTGTTCTACATCTCGTTCCTCACTCTAAAAATAGTAGTTTTTACATCACAAGTTTTCACGTGCATCTTTCGGCCTCAGTCACATATTTAGATCAGCCTTTTCAGACAAACCAATGTATACATTTGAAAAATATAAGTTAGGGGCTCCAGCTTTTTGTAAAGGCCCATAAATATGCATGTGAGTGAATTTGACCCAGATTAAAATGATTGGTCCTGTATAATCTGCCTTTTAATCTAGTGTTTCTAGTAGTTTTCTATATAAATAACAGATGCTTTTAAAGAACTCGCATTAATAGTTTCATGAGTGAAGCTTGAGATACATGGATTTGTCACAGTATGTTTTTAGCACGTGACTAAATATAAACAGTAAACCAGGGACGTGCGGTGAGGTTTGTGATTGGGGAGGCACTGACTTTAAAAGTCAGATTTACAATCATTATTCAAATAAAATAGCATTTAATCACCAATGCAATGACATCCACAAACTTTATATACTGTAAAGATAAGAGAACCAGCTTCTTTTAATAATCTCACAACAAATCTAGCTGCTGACTCTGCTCCGCATCAAACAACATCTTTAAGAAGCGCAGGTGCGAGAGACGCGAGGAGAGAGAGACGCGAGGAGAGAGGAGCAGAGAGAGACAGAGAGACGGAGACGCGAGGAGCAGAGAGAGACGGAGACGCGAGGAGAGAGAGACGCGAGGAGAGAGGAGCAGAGAGAGACAGAGAGGAGCAGAGAGACGGAGACGCGAGGAGAGAGAGACGCGAGACGCGAGGAGAGAGAGAGCAGAGAGAGAGAGAGACGAGAGGAGCAGAGAGACGGAGAGACGAGAGGAGAGAGCAGGAGAGACGCGAGGAGAGAGAGAGACGCGAGGAGAGAGAGACGCGAGACGCACGCGAGGAACATAAACAATAATTTAAACAAGTTGCAGAACTCTTGAGCAGTGTTTGAATCAGTGTTTTTCGGAAAAGCACTACTTTGCCGGTATCTGTCAATGTTCAACATAAAACACAGATTAACAAACTCCTCCCCCGCAGCCGGACTAACCTCGTAAGTCCAGTGGTGGTCTCCCAGTCTATATTAATTCTTTCTTTGTTTGAAAGTCCAATTGAGAAAAAAAATCTTCATTCAAATCATCCATTTTCCAGCAAAAGAAATAGCATTTTGGGCTGATTGTTTGTTAGCAACTCTGGTATGAACTTTATGCTCACTATCATCCCTAGCGGTGAGGCACAGATACCGCCTGCCTCACGCCAAGCTTTTTCCTTGTGTGTTCATCTACGATCAAAAGACTTAAACTAAATATAAATTGTACACACATACGTGCAATACACTACTAAACACTAAGAGGAGTTTAAAAAATGTTTTTAAAGCAGGATATTTGAAACAAACGGTGATATATCAACTGCACGAGCTGAGTGCACTCAGACACACACACACACACTGTGAGGGAGCGGTCTGGGGTGAGGCACGCAGGAGCGCTGCCTCACCTCGTCTCTTTGAATAGGAATAACGGGATTTCGGCGATTTTGACTTCAGAAATGATCAAAACTGATGGGAACCGTGCCGAATATACATTAAAAGCATAGGACAGTGGATATAAATTATATATTTAAACTAAAATAATTATTAGTTTCCAATAATGGCAGGTGAGGCTCTGCCTCCCCTGCCTCCCCTGACTGCACGTCCCTGCAGTAAACCTCTGCTGTAGTTTGTACCTGGCATATGCACCATCCTGCAGTTACAGTTGTCCACCAGATAGCGTGTCTCACAGTCGATGCGGCAGGCCGTGATGCTGTAGCTGTCGAAGAAGTCGGAGTCCATGGGGGTCACTTTACAGTCGCCCCAGGGTGGAGGCAGATATATGAGCTGTACACACACACAATACATTATTATGGTTTTATTTCATGTCTCAACAAACACTGTAAGCTTAATTGCACATGACCAGCAGGGGTCAGTGTTGGCTCATATGTAACAGTGCAAAATATAAATAAGTCTCACCATTCAGAATAAACTTACTTTACTGCTGGGTAATTAAAGATTTTGTGAATTGTCAGACCACAAGTCTACGCTAAAGTTTTTAAATTTCTCTTTGTTCATATTTCCATACTTCAAATTTAGTTGCTGGTTTTTGTCCTAAACCTGTGTGTTTGTGTGATAAAAATAAATAAAACAATAAATAAAATAATAATAATACAAAAAATATAAATAGAAAAAATATATTAAAACAAAAGATCATGTGTATTTGCATACTTGTAAGAAAGAGCCCTACAAACCACTACAGAGCGCTGATTGGCATGCGAAAACTAGTGATAGAACCAAACTGCTTTGCATAGAATCAATACAATACGTTTTCTCTAGTCTTCCTACATATCCCTATCAGTAAATGCAAAAAGTACTATGAAATCTAAAGCCCTCAGCTGTTCATCTCCCCAGCACAAAAAGCCCAGTCTTTCGTGATCTCCTATGGCTGGCTTCCAAAATATAAAAATGCAAATATTCTCAAATGGCTGCTGTTCTTAATAATGTATAGTTTTATGAGGGGCATCGCAGCGATCACATCTCCGTCAGTGTAATGCTCAGGTTTAATCTAATGTTTATAAAGTGCTGTTGTCATCACTTCTGAAAGAGCAGCTGCTGCATCAGACCCAGACCTAAAGCCAGAACATCGTCTGTGCTATTGACTATAAAACAGGGACATAAACAAACTTTATGACTACATGACATAAACTTCATTCGGTTAATAAGGTTCTGTGAGCAGGATGTTTACTGCACGTTGTTAGGATCTTATATTAAGGAGGGAAATGTTTTTTTTTTTACACATTTGTTTGAATAAAAGTTAAGACAAAACATATAAATGTGTTCTTCATTACAGCACAGGGGCTGAGAGATACGGAGACCATGCCAAAATACAGAAATCCATCTTGGCATCACTTATTGATCTCAAAGTGGCTGGATAGTTTTCCAAGGATGTTTGATAAGTGCGATGGTGTATGTTCAGAAAACTTACTTAAACATTTCACAAACATTTGAATAAAGTAGTGTGAGGCTGTTTGATGACGCTTGCGGCTTCAACAAAAACTTTTAATTACTATTACTCAACCTATTATCATGTTATTTTAAAAGGGTTCAGCTTTTTTTGCCTCCCTCAGGTTTTTTATTATTTTAAAAGAATTAAAAACCTCCATTGAGTACCAGTAGAGATGGGAGTTGGGGAGCTTGTGCATTAAAACACCCCATCCTTAAATCATATCAAATGAAAACTATTTATACAAATAAAAACAAATTTGTTTTGTTCCATCAGGTGTTGGTTCAAGGTATAGGAGGATTTTCTACTTCCGGGTGGATCATCAAGACTATTGGTCCGCCATTTTCATTTTGGTGTCACGTGCTCGTAAAATAAGACCAGAGAGTTTTGTTCAAAAAGTGGAGAGGGCGGTCTTACATTACAACATGAAAACCTGCGGAGTGCGGCCTGTACTATATGTGGACAACTACTTACTTTACTGACTTAAATACTTTACTTTACTACTATTATCTACAACATTCAGCTGGTGCAGTTTATATACAGGTGCGCTTTATAGTCAAGTACTGTATATTTTATTATAACAGTCATAAAAAGCCATTGAAAGGTTCAAAGAGGACATTTACCCGTTGTTCTTGGCATGACACAAAAGTCTGAAATCCAGGGGCCACACCAAAACCCAGCTGGTCGATGAACGAGGGCTCGTCCTGACTGTGGATCTGAACTTTGATCCCGGCCTCAAAAGACGTCTCATCTACAGAAAGGGGCAGGAGCAGTGTCAGGGACATCAGAGAGCAGTCTTCAGTGCGGTTCAAATACTGATGTTGAGTCTATAGTCTACGTTACGCTAGACACTTTTTATTCATGTTTCTGTTTTTTTCATTTTCGTCCATTTTGCAGGAGTTCATGAATGTGAAGTGAGAACGCCTCCTGATGTTCTTCCTCTATTATCTCTAACTTTTGTGCAGGTTCTTTAAGGTCTCAAACCAACCACTCATTCGGTCCAGAATTATGCTCAAACGAATGGTGCTTGTCCTTCTTATATCCATCCCTCGTTTTAATTCAAATGTGTCTCATACTTGAACATAGTGCATGACCATAAATGAGACAGACAAACATAAAGGATTGAAAAGACCATTAAGGCAAAGCACACCACCTCAGTCTGAGCTCTCAATTTTACCTGCCTGAAATTAATACAAGAAAACAAGTTAAAAGGTTGAACTATTTGATATCAATTTAACTTAAAGAAGACATATTCTGTTTTTGTTTTATTAAGAATGATAATGACACTATTTCCTCTTCATGTTTTAGAATGTGAAACCATAGAAGGGGTTAGGGTTAGGGTTAGGGTTATAAGTATGAAGGATAAACAGTGCCATTGGACTGCACTATCCCTGTGGTACCACCAGAGGGAGGACTTCCATTTGATACATTATTATACTCATTTGAAAAGTTACTGGCTGCAAACATGTCATATTGATTTAGAAATAACCCACATGGGCCCTACCATTATTTTAAAAGGAAGGTGTGACATCATAGAGGTACAATGACATCATCCTATTACAGGACAGAGACAGGAGCTTTTAGACAGAACGGCCAGAAGTTCCTGATATTAGCGTGGATGCATCTAAAAACAACTTTCGGCCTGTTTCTGGTGAGCAACAATGTGTCATATCTCATACCTCCGGTAATTTATTGATAATCTGCACTGCTAGATATCTATTGTGTGTACTTTCACATCAGATCTTTTATTAAGAAATTTGATTCCTACAATAGCAATAAAAATAATTCTAATACTGACTCATAAAAAGTCAATTTTGTGAAATACGTCTTAAACTCACTTTATTGCAAAACCTCAAAATGTATTACTCAAGTAAAACAATCAATAAACAAACAATAAAATTTGAGCATTATACTTCAGACTTTCTATTTCTAAAGTGTAGAGAATAATAATCCTAATGATGTGATTATGTGAAGTTGTGTGTGCCCCTCGTCTCTGAGCTCGGATCTAAATAGTGTCTCATTAGTGGCAGGGTTATAATTGTTTTCCCTGAAGAGTGTCCATTAGTGTCAGAGCGATAAACATATTATGTATTATTATATCCACACAACAGTATGACTCGCAGCTGCTCACCAGTCTCCCCCCACACTGGCAGGTACTCGTCCTGTTGAATGTCCAGCATCAGCTCCAGCCCGTTGCCCATGCCTCCCTTGGTGGTGATCAGAGGAGGCTGTCCGTCTCCGCCCGCGTTGAAGGTGTAGCACTTCCCATAGCGCGTGAAAACCTGCGGTGACAAACGGCTTTCATTACTCGGCTCCTTTCCATGGTCTGTGCCTCTGGCCTGAGAACAACAGCCCAAGAACACAGCCATCTGTCAGAGCAGCTGTAACCACACAGGGCCACTGGGGGGCACTGTTTGCCTCCACTTACACTGTAGAAAAAATAAATAAAAAATGATATAGAATGTTCATAGACTTTACATAGTTAATGTTTACCGCCTAATTCAATGAAGCTCAATAAAGAAGTGCTATTGACTTGCATTTAAAAATAAACTCCTCTAGATTAACTCTTAGCTCTAATTTAAGGGCTCAAGAACTATTAAAACATTTAAAAAAAAAAAGTATAAGTCAAATTTTATGGTGAAGTATAGGACAATTGAATTGGACTTTGCTTAATAACTCGTGTTCATGGAAGTTCAAGTTTCTTGTGCTTCATGTTACCATCGTTGGTATATGAGAAACTGTATAATTTGTCATCTTTTGACGTATTTTCACATTGTATTAGGGGTTAGGCAGTATAAGTTTCGACTTTAGCCTAAACCCGTTCGGTAGGGTATTGTTTCGCACAAGGTCCTTTATGGACACATTTTGGTTTTTTTTTTTTTTTTTTTATTTTGTTGTTGTAAAAAGTAAATGTGATCTCTGTATTCGTGTGACCCGAGGTCGGGTATACATATTGGCCGAAGAAAAAATAAACTAACTAACTAGCTCAGTAACCGTTAGTGGCACACCCCCCATTTGGGCTTAAAATATGCTTGGTTTAGCACTCTCTGATCCAGGTGTTTATATTTTGATATTGTCTTGTAAATCCAGATATAAGCCCTAACAACTGACCAATCAGATGCCTTTATTCACAGGGTAAATTAAAGCTTCCATGACAAAACATGTTTTATTTTTCCCGAAAGAAAGAACCCTTTAAGTCACTATTTGATGCTTGGGGCTGAGAGCTGGTGTGGTGGTCCTCTCTTTTTCCACTTTTCTGTCTTAAAAAGCTGATCTATAAATGTGAGAGAGGCCAAAACCTACTTGCATGTGAAAGCAAAAAAAAAGAGACAAAAAAAACTATTATCAAAGCATTAAACTAGTTTTATGCATTTTTATTTGCATACAGTATATTGAAAGTTAGGTACCTAAGCTTTAATCCAACACATATCCAGCTGCTCCATCCAAGAAAGAAATATTTGTTGTGTGTTTCTGCTTGGTTGTTAGATAGGTAACGGTCTAAAGGTAGTGGTTGCTCTTGAGGGTTGGTGGGTTATGTAATGGCCGCGCTGAGGTGATGCACAGTGGCAGATGTGATTGAGGCTGAGGCTGGGTGATTTAATGCTCTTTATTGCACTTATAATGGACCTGATGTTACCATGGAGACCAAGCATTCCAGCCAAGGGGGAAACACAGAGCTTGATTTGAAAAGGGAGACCCGTGTGCCGATGCAAAATGTCAGCCAAGACTTCAAAGCCAGAGACAGAGAAGTATCAATAACTGTGCGGACAAGACGCTGAGGCGATTTCGAAAAAATATATTCATACATGTCACACATTTCCATACATTCAACACCCATGCGGTTTTCTTTTCAAATATTATGTCAGTGTACTTCTATTTCCATTGTTTTAAAATTCATGTATAGATCAAAGAATACAGTCCTGCTTTCAGGGAGACTTCCAGATTTGAGCTGCATAAAACTGAAATGCTGCCTCCCCATCTTTAGTCCTGACTCTGGGCACCAGCAGGAGACCAGTACCTGTGCTCCTCAGAGACAAAGCAGGAGACCAGTACCTGTGCTCCTCAGAGACAAAGCAGGAGACCACCAGTACCTGTGCTCCTCAGAGACAAAGCAGGAGACCAGTGCCTGTGCTACTCAAGAGTCCCAGCAGGGGAATCTGAAGAAAATATATGATATTCTTGTCTATATAAATGGCTTTAGTCCACCATGCATCTATAAGTTCTGGATTGGAATTTACACCAATGGATTTGTAGCATAAGAAAAAAAAATATCAACCTGTATCATAGGGTGGTCCAGAAGACATCTTCTGAGATACAAGATCAAAATCAAGATTAAGATTTATTTTGTCCACTTAAGGAGCCATCGACCCATGGTTTGGACTGATAGGTGTGCTACATTTCAATACACATTTGAATTGCTATGCATGCAATTGTAATGCTTTTATTATAATGACAGAGACAAAATAACCATAGAACAAATTCCCCTCATGACATACATTTGTTCTGATAATGTCCAGTAGTAAAACAAGGTTCACTCTCCACATTCTGCAACACTCGGCTGATCAATGGGATTGTTTGAAATTGAACAAAACGCTTCCTTCTCTCTGGCTCTTCACAGATGAGTGCTTAAATGTGTCAGATCACACAGCGGCTGCACTCTACCTCCATAAATAAGTCATTATTTTATAGATGTTTTGGCTATAAGACTTTGACACTTCCAGATGTTAACCTTGGCTTTATATCAAACACATATGAAGATGTACATGTTTCTAACCACCTCTGCATGTTGTTGTGACAGATGTGGCAAGAATCCAAAGCATGCATAATTGACATCATGTGCATTTCTTCTGCTCGGATTGATGGATGAATAAATAATCTGCCCATAGATATTTGTGGGGTTCGGAACAAGACAATAGACTGATGTGTGTTACTGTTGCTTTGCTTCAGATGACTTAAAGAGCGACTAAACAGGAGGGAAACCTACGCAGACAGCTTTCCTCCAGCCCTGTTCTATCCGGGATTCGAGCCCAGGACCTTATTGCTGAGAAGCGAGAGTGATATCCACTCAGCCACCATTAAAAAGAGCTTTGTGATCCTGGTCCGAGAAAGGCGCTATATAAACAAACCTTTCTTACTTAGTGGTCAAAGCTCCCTGCATGAAGGATAGGTCAAATGCAGAGGATACATTTCCCTACAAAGACAGCATAGTAGACCATCATCATTTCCCTCACTGCTTTGATAGTTAATGGCTTATTACTTCCTCACTGATTATTTCTTTTTAGTTAATTGCTTTGGGGCATGATTTTAGATTAGATAATTAGAATAGATTACAGAATATACAGGTGAAACTCGAAAAATTAGAATATCTTTCAAAAGCCCATTTACTGTAATTCAACTTACAATGTGAGACTAATGAAGCTTAAGCGCAAATTCAGACTTAAAGACAGACAGAAACTCCCCCCATCCAGGCCAACCAATCACACAGCTCTGCCAACCTCGAGCCTCCGCCAATCACTCAGCCCGGCCAGCCTCCTGCCAACCCTCTGACAGCAAGGCGGGCAGTTTAAAAGGCAGCCACTTCCTGACAAGCAACGCTTCCTGAAGCTCTTAACACCCACCACTTCCCCAGCGCATCCTCCAGCTCTGGTTCCCGCTCTAGGCTCCCATGGCTCCTGCTCTGGCTCCTGCTCTGGCTCCTGCTCCGCCTACGTCCCATTCACACCATGCTTCTTACCACCACCAGTGCTTGACCCCGGGGGATCTGAGATCATCTTCAGCAGCAATTGATCTCCTCGCTGCAAGTGTCACTGCCGGGGTCAATGCGCCAAATATACAAATGATTTTCATGTATTAATTGTCTGTCTTTGGTCTCTTCAGATTGAAATATATGACTCACTACAGGCAAAGGGAGATGTATCAAGCCGTTGTTTGTTAGAATGTTGATAATTGTGGCTCAAATCTGGTAAAAGCCCCCCCAAAAAACATTAGAACATTAGAAAATGGACTGAAGCCATAATCATCCAAATTATTACAACAAAATTGAGTGTAATGAGCCTAAATCATATATTGGTTTCATATTTTTATTCTAAATACAGAAATAAATGAACTTTTGAACCATATTCAAGTTTTCCAAGTTGACACTGCATATACATTTGCTTCTCCACATGCTTCACCCAATAGAGAAGTGCTCATGGACAAAGTTTTGCTTCAACTCAAAAGGAGACAATGCATGTACCAGGTCGTAGCAGCAGCGCTAATTTACACCAGTGGTCCCTGAGCAGGTCACAACAAAAGTAGATGAAAACATTAACACGCATTAGATTACATTACATAACTTAGAATTTTGGGCAAACATCAGTGTTGTAGTACTCGCTATGGTCCTGATGTTTATATTTTGATATTGTCCAATGAGTTGACCCATCAGATGCCTTCATTATCGGGGGATACTCCAACTTGCCGATGAGACAATTTTAAAATTGTCGGCCGATTTTCCTAACCTGAGAGACCCCACACACAGAGATAAAAAAATCAAGGGTCTAACAACTTTGGTCGTACAGTGTGTGGTGTGCAGCCACACGGCAACACCACGCAAACCACACACGAACCGATTTCCCTCCCAAGCATTCCCAGGTCAGACGGAAATCTCACAAAATCTCTCTAGATCAAGCGTGACTTCAGAGTAAACAATCATGGAGGACAAAGAGGATGCAGTGGCGATAGTTTGCAGTTTGTTTGTAACAGAGAAAAAGTGTTATCAAAGGAAAAGGCGATGGGCAAAGAAATGGAGACAACGTGAGCATGGACTATTTATATTTATGCGCAATGCCACTGACTGTTATGATTTTTTTTTACGGTGTTTGCTTGTCTTGTGATTGGCTCCACGCCACAGTCCACTGGCAGCGTGCTCGTCTATCCCCGGAGGACACCACACACCAAGAGAGATCGGGCCAAAACAATCCAATATGTTGGATATCCCCGATTTGAGATCGGAGCAGTCCCAAAGTCCTTCTGGGCGACAAGTGCAGTCTTAACACACATGGTAAGAAAATCCATCAGATTTTTTAAACAAAAATTGGACCGTTCTTAAGATTGACGTTAGGGGTAAATTGGGTCTTAAATCGGCCTAATTATCCTGCCGCATGAACCAGGCTTTAGCTACCGTCTCAGCAACAAGTGTGCCCCGGAAGAAATGTCTATATACGGAAATTGGCTATAGCTTATGATCAATGTTTGGCTTCTTCCGAACACTTACTATGGTGAGTGTTCAGTCCACACAAATGAAGCTGAAGCGGATGGTCAGACTTAAAGACCGAGTGCAAATTCCCCCTTTCAAGCCTGCCAATCACACAGCTCTGCCAGCCTCGAGCCT